TAAACCAAAACAGACGTATTTCATTTCTACATGACCACTTCTTTATCCCTTAGAATTAAATAGGCTGTTTTTGTTACTATGCCGTTAAGACTGATATATGTAAATGATCTCTGTTCTGATTGGCTGTTCTTTATTGCACTTCATTCATAAAGCAGTCTGGGCTGAAACACTCCTCATAGCTTCAGCATGAATGGGTAGAGTTAAGTTGCTGTAGGCTGAAAAGGCAGATATATGCAAATGTGTTTGTTTTTGTGACATCACAAAAATAGTGACTTTAAAGCAGGATGGTTTGCAGCTTAGTTTGGTGTGTTTTGGAACTACATACTCTATCAAAATCTTTTATTAAAAAAAAAGTGTGGGTAAATTCGCTTTTCCTAATTTAGCATAATAGAGCTAGAGTCTTTTCAACTGGATTTACTTTAGCACAGTATGTAGAATATTAAATAAAACCATTCTATTCATAGTTTTTGATGGTATTTTTAATTGTGGAACTAGTGGGGCTTTTTTTTTTTCTGTTACAACTAATCAATGAAATATCACAATACACAGTCACATTATTATGACCACCAGCTAATATCCAGAGTAACCGCCATGTGCAGCATGGACAGCAACTAGACGGACTGGGAGTGACTCAATAAGGTCCTTGAAGGTGGTCACAGGTATCCAGTCATGCACCAACCAATGTCGGACATCTAGCCGTGTGACGTGTCGCATTGTCTTGCTAGAGGATCCCATCCGCCCCGGGGAAAGCAATCAGCAAGTATGGGTGTACGAGATCTGCAAGGATGGATTCATACCCAAATCGGTTGAGAGTGCCTTCCACATGGATGAGCGGGTCCAGAGAATGTCACGAAAACATTCCCCAGACCATAACGCTGCCACCACCAGCTTGTTGACATGAAGTGGTCATAATAATGTGACTCGACTGTGTATGTATCGTTTATTGTGAAAATGTCTTCAAATATCATGATATTACATTTTGGCATATCGCCCACCTTTAGGATACAGGGTTTTTTCCTCTTACACATCTTTGCATTCTGCTTGTCCACAACTCACATGCAAATGTTTATTTAGGACAATAGACAGTATTCTTCATCCACTTGGTTAAATGCTTCTCAGTAAACGTTTTCACTGACTACCAGTTTTCTACAGAATTAACTTAAAGTGCTTCTAATTGTAAATAAATCTCTGAATGGCTTTGGACCAACATACACTGGTGATCTGCCTGAAGTATACGAACCTAATCGGCCTCTCTGATCACTGGGGACTGGTCAGTTAGTAGTGCCCAGAATCAGAACCAAACATGGTGGAGCAGATGTGCTCCAAATGTAGCCGGTCACTGGGGGGCAGTCGTGGGCTGGAGGTTAGGGAACCGGCCTTGTGACTGGTCGCCGGTTCGATCCCCTCAGCTGACAGTATGTGACTGAAGCAAGGCACCTAACCCCCAACTGCTCCCCAGGCACTGCATTTTATCTTAGCACTATTTTTATTTCTTTTAATTCCTGGTTTTAATTTCTATGTGTCTTTTATCTTCAACACTTCAATTTCAATTTTTGTAACTATCGTTGCAAATGCCTTTCTGGGGCACTAGATCTCTGGATGTCAGTATCTTTATTATTTTATATTTTTAAATGCTTTTATTTTTCAGGGTATGTGTGAAGCAAGTTCAAGTTCAGTGTAGCTTTATTGGCATGACTGTAAGGACCAATATTGCCAAAGCATTATAACAGTGGCAACAATGACGATAACAACATTAACATATAATAATGATAATGTATCAAAGAATGACAACAACATTGTTGACTATATTAAAATAAAAAGGTATAATTTATTGTATAATAATGAATTTTACTAATTTGTAAACTTTTTTTTTTTTTAATTTGTGTAGTGTTGGGGGTATGTGGAGAGGTCAGAAGGCTGGGGGTCAGTATGGTGGGGGTATGGGGTGTGGGGGTCAGTAGGGTGGGGATATGGAGAGGGTGGAGCTAACTAGGGTTGGGGTATGGGGGTGTTACCCACTGTCTCTCAGCACTGTGAACTGCCACTCTGTATGAAAAGTGCTGTACAAATACACTTGCCTTGCCTTGTTGTTTTCATGATTGCTAACAGTCGTGCTCCACATATGGCCAACCACACTTACATAGCTGATGACCAGAGACTGACATTGAATTTCTCTGGCACCATGTTATCAGCTGGCAGATGACTCATTAGTGTTGGCACTGCAGTTGGCATCAGGAATTGAGATGATTTGTGAAAGTAGCCTGTACAGAGTGATATTACAGTGCAGAGAGTCACAGCTTCCAAACCCATAACGTTTCTTCTGTAATCAAGAGTTTGCACCCGTTTGCTGCAGCCTCTACTCTTCTGGGAAGGCTTTACACTAGATGTTGGAACATTGCTGGGTGGATTTGATTGCATCCAGCCACACAAGCATGAGTGAGATCAGGGAAATTAGTATTGGGCTCAATACTATTCTGATTCTAATGGTCGTTGCTTTTGTCTGGAGATTATATCTTTTGCTCATTTTATTATTTTTTTTACTCTGATTTGAGAGTCAGTTACAGGTTGCATTGGGCTTTGGGGTAGGAGTTAAATACTGATTCTAGTCTCACGGGGTGGGTAGGTCTCTAGCATGGGATTGGCTGACTGAATGGGAGTTTAGACTACTTGTTTGGCTGTTTGCATTTGCCTCAATATTTCCTGTAGCAACTACACAATGAATCCTTTTCTCAGCTCATTAAATCATTGGTTTTGACTGAATATTGAATAAGTAAGACTGCACCCCTTATGTCATGTATGTATTTACTGTCAGTACCACAATATGGGAGGATTATATGAATATTTATAGATTTTAAAAACATTTAAAAGCCGTTTAACAACTATTACCAGTTTGATATCTTTAAACAGATGTTTTAAAGCTGATGTTTAAGCTTCAACCTCACCATATTCCCAGACGGATTAGCTGCATAAGCATAAAATGTACCGTCTGCTTGTTCTTAAACTGAGAAGAGTGAAGGTCAGAGAATAGAAGTGACTAGAATATTCCCATGGGAGCGACAGTGCTCACTCACGTGCAGTGACCTATTAGCTCTCATTAGCACGTGTTAAAATGTGTTGACCCAGGCATCCTCATTCCATAAAGTCTGCCTATGTAAACCTATGTTAGAGCGTGGGCACTTGGACAGCAGGTTTCTGTTACTGTTGAGTGGTGAAACTTAGCCTCATTTGACCGCCATAGCTCCCTCTGACCGTGGACTGACCTTCTGTCATTGCCAAAAAGAATCCTCTTGCCCGTGACTGTCATACCACCCTGACCCTCAGTAGTGCCCAGAGCTGTGCTAAATTTATTAGCATATAAATACATGTAAAATAATCCCTCTGCCACATTTATTAACCTTTGACTGAGCTTCTCCCCCAGGCTGGCTGCTGGTTCTCACTGCTTGGTGACTCAGCATTTAGATAGCGGCTAGTGTCAATAAATAGTAGGAACTAGGTGTCCTAAGATGCCCCGTATATCCTTACATATAATTCCTCATTAAAGTATTAGAATAAAATCCTTCTTGCTTAGTTATTAGAAGTTATTAAGACAAGGATTAGAATTAAGAAAGGTTCATGCTGAGAAACATAAACACGACAGCCTTACAGCAAGTTTGTGTGACGCATGTAGGACTTTTAACATGTTGCCCTTTGTTTCTCACTGTGATATTATTTTATATGCTACTTTATTCCTCTTGAATAGGCAGTTTAGTGGTTCACACTGCAGTAGATCACGAGGGAAGACTCAGGGCCTGTAGCTTTTAGTTCATTTTTATTCAATATAATCGTTGCTTATTGTATAATAATGCTTATTGAATTTCAACTCAGCAACTGAAGCAATTTCATTGTTAAGTTTTGGTTGTAAACAAGAGTTTAATAACAAAAATGATTCTATCAGGATTTCTTTTCACTGTAGGCAGATACAGCCAGGTGAGCTCTCCCATTGGTTGGGACTTCAGGAGCTGAATGCAGGCAAATGGCCGCTAGATTAAAATTGTGACTTCAGTCTTTTCTAATCATCAATAACTGTTAATGTTGACTTTTTGAACTGGAATTATATGTTTATAAATAGGAGCAATAGAAATCTCAAATGTAATGAAGTCTTTTAAAGCTACACTCTGTAAGATTTTTTTTTGTTGTTAAATTTGAAAAAAGTATCTTTACCAAGTCAGGAGAAGAAATATGGTGTGTACGCACTGCTTTAAGTCTTCCTGTAAAGCCTGAAATAATAATTTAAAAGTCATAGTCATCTGGACGGATTTTGTGGGAGTTTTTCAGACCGTGTCATACATCTTTAAGTATCAGTGTCACAAAAATAGGTTCAAAAAGAAGATCTGGCTCGATGTTTAGATCTCAAAACATCAACATTATGCTGATGAAGGTCTAGTGATAATTCACTTACATCCTTGTAAGACGAGTTTTGACTAAGTTCTCTTTGAATGATCTATGTGTGTGTTTGCAATCAGATTCGTCTGCTCGGGGAAGGGGTCCGAAGCACAACCCACGTTACAAAATGTTCTTTCTGCACATTGCATGCAATTACAGATTTCCACCAGAGAGGTCTCCAAATCCCCACATCTTACATAGTGCAGTTTTAATATCCTGATAGCAATTCTTTCTTAACACAATATTGTACTAATGTCATAAACCATGATGAAATGTGGGGAAATTAGCATGATATTAAATTATCATGCCAGCACATGTCTACTACACGTAGATCTCCATTTTTGACGTTTTTCAGTTCTTGCAATAATTTGAAAAAAACTGTTGCCCTTTCCATTGTATGTAAATTTCATGGTAAATGGACTAAAAGAAACGGCCCAAAATGACTTAGCAAAAAGTCTGGTTCTGTTGACTTACATTAAAAGTAAAGTAGGTTTTTCCTTCTCCTGTAAAGTTACCATTTTGGAGATTCTTCCGATAACAGCAAAATATTTACTCTTAAATATCTCTCTATTCTACAGAGAACACTGAACACACACATATAAAACCTGTGCAGCATGGAGCCTGACCAGTCAGAGATGAGCATCCTGGCCAACGGGAAAGGTCACGACTTCGGAGATGAGATGAATGTGCCAGTGAAGGCGCTGATGGAGGATGACCAGTAAGCATGTTTTCATGCATTATTCTAATACTTAAAATTTCACGTTTTCTTTGGCTTCAACACTTCCTTTGGAAAGTAACTGTGGCTAATTACACTGAATGTATGTGTTGCTAACTACCTGCATGGAAAAACTTGGCACTAGACACACAATATGTGATGTGTTTTCTTCTATGCCATTATCAGCCTTTGCCAGTATACTGTAAATGTTGTCAACTCATTGTTTGCAACCTATAGGCTGTTTAATATAGAAAAAACCTTTATTTACAGTATGTTAAACGAGTAATGGTACTTGAAATTGAAACGTTCTGCTGGAATGGAGTGTTTTCTTGTTTGTTTGTTGTCTGTTTGTTTGTTTTCTAAATGCATGTTTGCCCTGTTTTTGCACTTGCATTGGATGATGGATCCTCTCTCTCTCTGACAACCCTAAGAAATGGTACTCAGAACAGGTATGTTAAAGCTTTTAAAAGAGCTTGCAGTTTCATTTTAGCTGCTTAGTTAATTAATGCTGCCAAATTTAGGAATTCAAATTAAATGGCAGATATTTTGATGAAATTAATGAATAAGAAATGCTCTGTTTTGAACAGATTTGATGATCCAGAGGGGAACTTAGCCGAGAATGTGGAGTTCCTCCCCAATGGCGAGGGCAAGAAGCCACGTTTCACTGATGTAAGTGTGAATGACCTTTCATCCTAAAGCCACAGGAAGCCACTTGAGCACATTCAGAAGCTAATCTAATCGCATCTCCTTCTACAGAAATGACATTAAATGCAGTTCTGTGCTGGTGCTCCTGCCTTTATTTAACACATAGAAGATGTATATTTGAATTAATGAGTAATAGTGACAACATTAAGGATCGCAAATGAATCATTTCTAATGCAGTGTTTCCCTCCCCCCACACTTGGATTTCCCCAGAGTATATTGGCAGCCAACCAAGTATAGTGTGCTATATTTTAATGTTTTTTTTTTAAATACAAGATACACTTGCCTTTGAAATGAATATCCAGTTAAGTACAAAGGAATACTGAGATGGCTCTGATATCCATACCTCCCACCCAAATGTAATGTTAGTTTATACCAATATACATTGACTGGCCAATTCATTAAGTACACCTCTCTGTATCAACACTCATTGTCCATTTTATCAGCTCCTCTTACTATATAGGAGCCCTTTGTAGTTCTACAATTACAGACTGTAGTCCATCTGTTTCTCTGCATACTTTGTTAGCCCCCTTTTACCCTGTTCTTCAGTGGTCAGGACCCCCTCAGAGCAGGTATTATCTGGGTGGTGGATCATTCTCAGCACTATAGTGTCACTGATGTGGAGGTGGTGTGTTAGTGTGTGTTCCGTTGGTATGTGTGGGCCAGACAAAGCAGCGCTGCAGGACGCTGTTGGCTGGATATTTTTGGTTGGTGGACTATTCTCAGTCCAGCAGTGACACTGAGGTGTTTAAAAACTCCAGCAGCACTGCTGTGTCTGATCCACTCAGACCAGCGCAAGACACACTAACACACCACCACCATGTCAGTGTTACTGTAGTGCTGAGAATGATCCACCACCCAAATAATACTTGCTCTGTGGTGGTCCTGATGAACTGATGAACAGGGTGAAAGGGTTACAAAGTATGCAGAGAAACAGATGGACTAGAGTCTGTAAATATAGGACTACAAATTGGTGTACTTAAGGAAGTGATTGGTCGCTGTGTGTCTATTCAATAGTTAGTATTAGTTACTACTAAATAAGAGATAAAATTAATTGTCCAGTTTGTCACCACAATACTTAACCACTAATGACAATTTTATAGATTAGGTGACCCTTATTAGTCCCGCAATGAGGAAATTTCACCTCCGCATTTAACCCATCTGTGCAGCGAAAGACTACATACACACTAGTGAACACGCACATAGGGGGCAGTGAGCACACTTGCCTGGAGCAGTGGGCAGCCCTATCCACAGTGCCCAGGGAGCAGTTGGGGGTTGGGTGCCTTGCTCAAGGGCACTTCAGTCATGTACTATCGGCTCAGGGGATCAAACCGGAGACCTTCTGGTCACAGGGCTGGTTCCCTGACCTCCAGCCCATGACTGCCCCCATATGTCCATATAGTAATAAGAAGTAATGAGACGTAAATGGTCAAACTATAGACAGCTTTTGTTTCATTGTATTTCATATGTACTTTCAATTGAATGTGTAGAGGTGAAGAAAGACAGCCGTAGTTGCACAGTGGAGGAAAGAGCTTGGCTGAATTAATGGACCATTAGCTTAATTAATGGGACTAATATAAAGTTCCTGTGTTACTTCTTTATATGCACAAACACATTCATTAGTCTGTTAGCACTGAAATCCAGCAGTGAGCAGGCAGTTTATGGGTATAAGCTGTTAAGCAATGAAGCGTTATAGAATTCGTGTATAAATTCAGTGTGTTTTAATACAATTGTCTGATATATTGATGTAGGTTTTTAGAGAGCTCATCATGTTCTTATAACGTTTCTTGCTTCTTTCATCAGTTCGAAGGAAAGACGTCTTTTGGCATGTCTGTCTTCAATCTCGGCAATGCCATTATGGGCAGCGGAATTCTGGGCTTGGCATATGCCATGTCCAACACTGGCATTCTCCTGTTTTTGTAAGTCTGAAACACATTCTCTGAGTCAGATGGACCCAAACACTGAAGTGTATTTCTGTCTGTGAATACTGTGAGGTGATGACTCACTAATATCAAGGCTGAAATTTCTCCTTTTTGTTAGGTTTAATGCACATTTTAAAAAAGTAGACCTTCTATTTGTGCAATGCCTGTTCATTCAGTTCATGAAGCCCTTCAGACAACAAACATTTTCACCACTGCCGGGTTGTATATCAATGTTTCCATAGTAAATCTTTTATGTAGGCATATCTTACTTGGCTGTAGCTGATATTTGAAGAATGCCCCTTACATCTACACACCACACACAGGTTATCAGCATAATTACTCATTCCACTCATCACTCATCAGGGTTTACATTGTGACAGTTTTCCTGATTAGTTAGTGTCATATAAACAATTGTGATTATCAGTTTGGCTTTTTTGAGAAACAGTTAAAGTGTATTAATGTACAAGCCTAAAATGGCCAAACTGGCTGATGTTGCTTCCTACCTGTTTATACTGAGTAGCTCCCAACTGAAGACAGACACTCAAAATAAACGCTGCTCTTTAGGGTGTTATAGCACCAAGTCAGAAGTTAGAACTATTGTTGTTTTTGTAAAACTAATAATGTCCCTCAATAAATCTGTTTTCTTTTGTTTACATGTATTTGCATCAACCCAACTGATGAACACGCACCCATTTCACGTTATATATGTTGTGATGTAAAAACAGCAGTGGTGGACGAAGTACACAAACCATGTACTTGAGTTAAAGTAGATACCCAAGGTAAAAGTAAAAGTAGAAGTTCCTCCCTTTAGACCTCCACTTGAGTAAAAATACAAAAGTATTTGCCTTCAAATGTACTTAAGTATCAAAAGTAGAAGTATTAAAAGATTAATTATGACTCTGATGTCCTATTACCATTTGTATAACAAGACTCTTGCTCTATCAAATCATTTTAGGTGAGAATACTCCAGTGTCACTCTCGTAACACCAGTCTTTTAATAGAATGTCATTAATTAGTGACGCTGATGTCTATTAAAATTATCAAAAAGCACAAAACACTGAAGGCAAACAGTTTCCATCAGGTAGAACTGAGTGACTCTGAAATAACCTTTTCGCAAACAAGCAAAGTTTCAGTTTAAGATTTATTTGCAACTTAGTTACAAGTTTAAGTTTAATAAAACTTGCTTTAAACACAGATTCACAAATGAGTTTTCCTTTACTAAACTGCATCTGTATGTCTCTGTTCATAAACATAAACTAGCCAAAATGAATTTTCTATAAAATGAAAGTGTTTGTATAAATTCAGAAAAAAGAAACATGTCAGTCACAACGTCATTTGTGTACATATTTCTATATTGTGGTCTATTTACACAAAGTTGGGTTAGAGTCAGGAGTTTCTTCCATCATTTATGTTGGAGTAGGCACTCCTAAACTTATACACTGTTGCACTGTCATTGAACCGTGTGCGTGCACTGGGTCGGGATGACCAACAGGTCAAAACAAGCTCAAAACAAAGTGCGCGCTGTGCCCTGATTGGTGTTCTTGCTTTACGCTTCTGTCATTTTGACACATTACGTTTTTATACACACATAAGCCAAAAGGCACGACAGATCAAAATATTTGACTTTGAAATGTAGTGGAGTGAAAGTAAAAAGTCACCCAAAATAGAAATACTTAAGTAAAGTACAGATACCTGAAAAAACTACTTAAGTACAGTAACGAATTACATTTACTTCGTTACTGTCCACCACCGAAAAATAGGACTGTGAAATTTAACAGCTGTGAAACACAGTCACCATAAATGATTGTGATTATGTAATAATTGTGCCAGGACTAATATCTATGGTACTGTGCAGAGGTCTGGGCAGAAAGCAATTATTTGTTCATAAAAACATTATTAGGATAAATACAAATAACATGAATACAATATGTAGTGGTTTTTATGGAAGTCCAGAGAGGCCAAGAGGTAGTTACATTTTTTTGGATCATTATCTTGATATAATGAGTTAATTATCTTGTTATCGTGAGATAACAAAGTTGTTATCATGAAATAACGAGTATATATACAATATATTTGAGAGAGAGAGAGAGGGAGATACATGTATAGATATAGATATATCTTAGATTAATTATATTATTGTTACATAAATGATGTGCTTAGGTACCTAAGACTGTTACTCAGCCCATACGTGAAAAATATAATGCAGAAAAACTGTGCTAAATATAGTTCATAAGAGAAGTGTAATGTTAATGTGGAACAAATTGTGCTTCATTTACAGAAAATTATTACAGAAATGTTTCCAGATCACAGAAAAACAAAAACTGGTTCTTCACTAGTGTGCAAGACCAAATCATACTCGTTCTACTAAAGTATAAGTTCCACATCCCCGCTGTACCCAATGCTTTGTGTGGCCAGGAGAATTTACAAATAGACCCGACACTGTACTTAACCACACGCGCACTCTGACCTGTTGGAATGCCATATGGCGCAAGCAGCGACCTAATTTCCTAAAGAGGGGAGGAAAAGGCAGCGCCAAAGAATCTGTCCACCAGGATGTCAAACAACTCGCTGCTGTGCTCCTCCCCCTTAAAATTTTCCATCAGTTGGTCCTTCCCAGTCTGCTGGACTAGGCTCCTCCCCCTTAACATTTCCCGTCTTTTGGCCATGTCCCTCGTGCACCTTGAAAGGCTAAAGTCTGAAATAGTCCTGACCCACCCTCTCCGGAGCACATCCCTCCTTTCAGAAAAGTCTCACCCCGTCCCCTTATGCAGGCATCATATCTCTTTCCCACTCCTCAGCTTCGGACATGTTACACTGAACTGGACACCGAGGTTTCAGTTACCTAGAAGCCCTCATGTAGCTGGATTACCCACTCTGTCTAGCCTGACTTGGTTTGGGTGAAAGCAAGCTTGAGTATCCTCAGCCTCAAATACGTTACACAGAACTGGGTACCATATCTCTGATTACCTGGAAGCTCAATGCTGTTTCCTCTAAAGATAGTCCAGTGCAGTACTTCTCAGGACCCTACCTTCACCTGTAATTACATTGACCACACATTTAGTATCCTTGTTCCTCCTTGCTGTGGGCAGAGTATTGAGGGGGGAAAAGAAAAGGCACAGCCTCAGGCATGAAGAGGTTTCCTCTTTGTGAATAAATGCTTTGGTGGATTTTTTTTGGTGGGGAAAAACCCTCTGGTCGTCCATAATATACGCTTAATACCACTTTTACTACATAGCAGAGGAGCGCTTGCTTTTTTTTATGTATTTATTGACATTTTATCCAAATGAAAGGTTTTTAAGCTAAAAACGGATGGATGTAATGTGTGAATGTGTTTCCAGATTTCAGCTGGGAAACGAAACTGGATGAAATTCTGCATTTTTATACTTCCAAATCATGTGAATGTTACTTGCGTAGTAGTGAATCATGGCTGTTAGACCTAGACTTTCAGTTTGGACCATAAATGTCAAAACTTGGTCAAAAACAAACAAAAAAAAAAGACAACTTTGTGTAATGCCTTATTCTGCTAGCATCCCTGTGAGGTTTTTGGTTATATGTTAGCGCTAAGCTAGTGGTGGTGCACACTCTTTCAGTACCTTTGTCTACAGTTACCACCACTATTCTTCTTAGCTAATATCTGATAGAAACCCCTTAGTTGGGTTAGCACTCGTATTCCCAGTCAGCGACTCTCAGTTCCTAATTACATTTGTGGTTAATGTAGTTAATCTAAGATGTAAGGCCTGAAGTCCTCACCAATAAGAGAGCAAACCTGGCTGTATGTATCTAGATACCACAAAGAAAAAAATGTTTCGATATTTTAATACATTTGTTTCCAACTGAAACATGACGATGAAAAAAGAGAAAGTATGTTTAGCATCCTGAAATCATTAGTCCTTCTCTGAAAGCCTAGAAGACACTAAGGTCCCCTTTTTTGTTTTAATGTCAGATTTTGCCACAAAGCAGTTGTATAGAAGCAAGGAAAACATGACTGAGATCGTACGAGGAACCCTCATACTGTTCCTGGGTCCTTTGCTTTGCTTTATAGTTTTCCTTTGCTTTGCTTTTAGAACCATGATACTGAACTGTTAACATCTTTCATGAACTTATATTGAAACCTAGCTCAATCCAGTGCCGCTGTGTCCTGCTGTATTGGTATATACTCAGCAAGGTGGTCTAGGAGGAAATTTTGTTTCACTGTGAAAGACATGACTGCCCCAGTTTTTAGCTAGACCACCACCATCTGACAGCTGAATGAGTTTTTTTATTCCTAAATTCTTCTCAGCAGGCCAGCTGAGGCCAGCAGTTCCTCCTCACTGCGATTCTTACAGGAGTTGTGCAAGTTGAATAGAGCTTTTCAAATGCCGCCCACCTCGTTCCCCAGCAGTACGAATCAATCAAACATTGATTCAGCTGTGGCCTTCCCGTAATTGTCGGCAAACCCAACTTTTTCCGCCAGCCACTTTTCGGTAAGTAAATGGAATTTCAGTTATCGGCGTCTGTGCTTGGCGGTGGCTTCGCAAGCTTTCGCTACAGTCCAGTAAAGGAACACAAGGGCATCATTGGGCTAACCATGCTGGCCTGGAGAGGTCTGGGAAAGGTGGCAACTCTAACTTTTGACCTCTGAAGAATGCTGAATGATGACCAGTTTGCTCTCCACCCAGTGGGTCACTGTGGGCGACTCATGTCTCCAACCTCCCCTTGACATTAAATTGCAAGCACAAGGGGTTATGGGAAATGTTCTCTGTCCAAGAGTGTGTCTATAGCCAATAGCGCATATCACCCACATTATTGCCCACAGACTTTCAATTTCCAAGTAGTCTGCATACCTACGTAGAGCATTGGCATCAAAGTAGGTTTTATTGCCAATGTTAGATTGAAAAGGAACCATGTTGGCTTTTCGCTGGTGTGTCTGATCACAAGGAAACCACTCAATACAGAGTGTTTCCCATGAGCCAGGCGTTCTTAACACTGCAGCAAATTAGATGATTGTTCCCAAGATCCATTCACAAGCAGTAAAATGAGTGCATATGAATGAACTATGGAGAAAGAAAGGAGCTTTGATTTTTTTGCCCTAATTTAATTGGGTCATATGGGCTGTGGTCCATGAGGAATTGCAGGGGCTGACAGAGAAGGAAGCATGTTGTAGTGTATTCACTCTTCACACTGAACCCTCAGTTCACTTCCCTTGTTAGCAAAAGTGACCGGACTTGGCTGAACCCTGGACTGTCTAGACTACTGACTCAAATCGTGGAGAAAGCATAAGATAGCAAGGTCCATGGCAATGTTCCACCTTCCTGTCAAAGGAAACGGTCTCCCGCTCACATCCCCAACAGTCTGATATCATCACTGCTTCCTTCAAGCAGCTCTGGAAACACAAATATCAGTCAGTGTTGAGTGGGATGATATCTAGATTAGAACATCTATTAAAAGACTACAAACCTCTTTGCGCAGCTTCACCAATTATACACTGCAGTGTTTCCCACAGGTTTGCAGTGAAGCACCATTGTTGAATATATATGGAAATTCAAATTCAACATTAGTTTACTTATTTGGGCATTCGAATGAGGAACAAGTTCCAGACCCTGGCCTTGCCCAGCACATTTTAGTGTTTTTCTGCTTTAAACACCCACTTCGACTTAGGGTGGGAACCACTGAGACACCATAAGCGAATGTTCAACCTTCTATGTTTTTGATTTTTAGATGTAAAGCACCTCATGGACTTGGCTAAAATGAAGGTTCAGGTCAATGAACAAAGGGAAAAAGAGTGATGCTTTGCGTCAGCGATAATGTGTGCCGTAGTTTATGTATAAAATATGTAATATTTTCTCTTTGGAATTTGTTAAAATGAGATGAAATGGAAATTAGACATTGATAAAATGGACAACGTTTGAACAGCCCTCATCAAATCACATTTTGTTCTTGGAAAATAAGATAAGTTAACACATCCTCTAGAGAGAGCAAGCTTAAGTATGAGATTTGACTGCAAATGTTAGTGTGCAGAGTTGGGAAAAAATGAAGCATACAACATAAAATGTGCCGTAACTTTTGCACAGGCCGCATTTTGTTATGTTTTTTTCCCCAATATTATAAATATAATAAATATGTATGTATGTATGTATATGTTTGTAAAATGTACAAATTGGGACTTCCAAGTAGAAATCCAAGTAGATTTGCAAAGAAATTGCAGAGAAATTTAGATTCAGTTTATTTCTGTGGGGTTACAAACGCATAAAACAGATGTTTTAGCCCAGTAGCCCAGTTATGTTTTACAGTTATCTGCTGGTATATTTCCAGTTCTGATATCATTGTGCATCCCTGCTTCTTACGTTCTAAAGTGGTTTACTTTTGAAATCTTTTCCCAGGTTCCTCCTCACAGCGGTTGCTGCCCTATCGGCTTACTCCATTCACCTCTTGCTAAAAGCCTCTGGTATTGTGGGTAAGCTAGTCTCTGCTTTGGCTGCTTTCTTTTGATGATAGCAGCTCAGATCCTATAACTACTCACCCAGTAGTGATATTCAGGCCCAAACCTGATCTCAAATCTGATCATTAAGTATGTCAACATAGAGAAAATCACATTAAATGCTATATTCAGAGTTAATCACTTATTAACCAAGATTGTAGGACAGTGTAAGATCACCAGAACCGACCAGTCATGGTTTAGTATAGGAAGCATAGGGGTGAGAAACACCTTTGTGGAGCTGAGCTGCTTGTTTTGGATTGGTGTCCTCACCAGGTCAGGTTTCTGGAGATTTCTGACTTTGTTTTCACTTTCTGATGATGTTTCCAGGAATCAGAGCCTACGAGCAGCTGGGTTACCGGGCCTTTGGAACACCTGGCAAAATGGCAGCTGGAATTGCTATCACACTGCAGAACATTGGAGGTGAGCAGAGTCTGGATTAGTCTGTTCACCTACTGTACTCGCTGTACTGCACCCCACTGCTTGATACTGACATTCATTACATTATTCAGTTGTTGAAGACAGAGAGGCAAAAGGAAAAGTGAGAGGGAAATATGAGAAAAGAGAAAAACAAGCTTGGAATGATTCATTTTATCTGGGGCAGGATTTCTCTTCATTTTTGGACACGATCAGTGGAATACCAGTATACCATGATATTGATACACTATGATGCTGCTTTTCAGTTTCAGTGATATTTTAGCAGTCAAGTCAAGTCACGGTTTGTTTATATAGCACTTTTTTACTTAGGTGTCGTCACAAAGCAGCTTTACAGAAAAATCCGGGTCTGAGCCTCCATGAGCGTCACCAATGGTTACATTGGCATGGAAAAACTCCCTAAGAGCAGGAGGAAGAAACCTTGAGAGGAATCAAGACTCAAAAGCAGAAACCATCCTCCTCTGGTCGACACTGGATAGCTAAACAATAACACGAGCAAAATGAACAGAGAATAAGGCTTTAACATTAGTGTAAAATATTAAAATACAGAAAAGGGGAAAAGCAGGTAAAGCAATGGCTGTGATTTAAATAGAGTAAGTAGATTAGATAGATAATAAGCTTCCTATCCATGGTGTTCCTGTTGTTCCAGTTGCTGAATAGTGTTAAGTTTTTTAAGTTTTTTTTCTCTGTTTTGTCGTTTTGTACCTTGTTATGTATCATTCAAAAGGAAAAAAAAATGCTTTCCTGTAATCTTCTATCAAAACGTAATGGCTTTAGCATTGCCTCTAAAGTGTCTTCAGATTTTTGATTACATCACTATGTACCAGCGGGTAGGTGACAACAATATTAACCAATAATACATTTTTCACCTCCCACCACTCTCACCACTCCCACCTATCATGGAGAGAAAACACTCAGCTAGCTCAGAGAAGACCCTGCCTAACGTGGCGCTTCACTCACAAATCTGTCATGGAACACAGCGACGTGGGAAGGTGTTTTAAGTTGAGGGTGCTGAAATTTTATGCAGCATATATGTGAAGGGAATGATGACACCATGCAAAATATTTACCTTTATTTATTTCACACATTAAATTGTGGAAGCAAATCCTCTCTCTGCTTAACAAACTTTATGCAAATGAGCTGATTGGCCATCAATCAGATTGTTGATATGTGGCTTAATTGACAGTGTCACACCCACAGCCACACAGTGTGATTTAACACTGGAATGCACACAGAGCGGGAGATAACAGTTAGTTTGAAATATAAAAAAACATTATTAGGCTGCTTTGGTGCTCAGAACTGGCCTATAATTCTGCACAGACTTTCTCTCTTTAAACCTCAACCTGCGTGTGTTTGAGTGATGCGCCCCTAAAGCAGTCAGTTGTCGGCTCACTGTGCTGTAAATACGGCGTTCACTTAATGCATAACTGCTGCAGATTTTTAAAATACACTATATGGACATAAGTATTGGAACATCTACACATACAGGAGCTTTTACAACATCCCATTCTAAATCTATAAGCATTAATGTGGAGTTGGTCCCCTCTTTGCAGCTACAACAGCTTCCACTCTTCTGGGAAGCTTTCTACAGATTTTGGAGAGTGTCTGTGGGAATGTTTGCGCATTCATCCAGAAGAGCATTGGTGAGGTCAGACGCTGATGTTGGACGAGAGGGCCTGGCTCACAATCTCCGTTCTAGTTAATCCCAAAGGTGTTCGATGGGGTTGAGGTCAGGGCTCTGTGAGGGCCAGTCAAGTTCTTCTACACCAAACTCACCCAGCCATGACTTTATGGAGCTGCTTTGTGCACTCAGGCTCAGTCATGCTGGAACAGAAAAGGTTCTTCCCCAAACTTTTCCCACATATTTGGAAGCAACGAATTGTCCAAAATGTCTTGGTGCTGAAGCATTAAGATTTCCCTTCACTGGAACTAAGGGTTCTAGGCCAACCCCTGAAAAACAGCACCACAGCATTATCCCTTCACCAAACTTTACAGCTGGCACAGTGCAGTCAGGCAGGTAACGTTCTCCTGGCATTCGCCAAACCCAGACTCGTCTATCAGACTGACAGATAGAGAAGTGTGACTCATCACCCTACAGAATGCGTTTCCACTGCTCCAGTCCACTGGAGGCATCCTTTATAGGCTATGTGCTTAATTTTATCCACCTGTTGTCTATATAGTGTATAAAAGTACAAACTCTACTCTAAAACAAGTCTCTGCTACCTTGAAATTACTATAAAGTTTAGAACATTTTATTAATATTATTATTTTTTCAGTTCTGAAATCAGGGGGTGCTGCAGCCCTCATCACCCCCACTTCCCACGTCCCTGATGGTACAGAAGGAAAATAAATAATGATACCCCGTTTACATTGACTTTAACCTCCAAACTTGCTTCAGATTGTTTTAAAAGAACAATTTCAAGTCCTTACAAAGTAAATAAATAGTAAGTTTCCTTCCAGGAAAGTAGTTTTCTGTCTGGTTATTGTTTACATTACTGTGTAAAAGTCCAATCAAAACAAACTCTGTGATGGTTGTAAGACATTCTTTTAGCACTCAGAAAGCATAGACGCATTAACTTTATTAATACAAAATTAAATATTATCTGATACTGTGAAGCCATGATATATTTGGAAAATAGTGTTTTATTGTGTTTTAAATAACACCCAGTACTAGTGGAGAACATCAGTATCCACAATATCCATCCAATATTTTGAGTTAAAAACTACGACTATTTGTGTCTGTTTGAGCGCTCCACTGTGAACGACCTCTGCTGGTCTAACGCAGGATCCTGAACACAGAACACATCTGAAAGAGCAAATAAATAATAAATACCGACCCCTGAGTCCCTTTTTTATAGATACTCTTTCAAGGGGATTTATTACAACACCACCAGGGAGAAATCACCATACTACATTAAAAGAAAGGTTTGTTTTCGAAGATAGAGACAGACCTTTTCCAAAAGGTCAGCGCGCTCTTAAAGGATCAGTCTAGTATGCTGTTGTTGGCAAAGGGACAGTTTTTTTTCTCTCTGCCTCTTTGACTCTCTGGTTTTTGGCTACGCTTCTTTTACTTTCTCTCTCCTTTGCACTTCTTTTTCTCCTCACCATTTCCCAGCTTTTATCCCTCCTAATGGAAAATACTATCGGTGCATTATGGTGTTCATAATCAATATGAGTCGTGGGTTTGCAGAACAACACACTTAAGAACCCTATAGTTCTGCTTCACATTCACTCAGGCAGCCAACTGATTCAGGGAAACATCCACCCAGTAAACGCCAGCGTTCCTTGAGGACAGTAGAAGTAGATAAGACAAATTGAATTTGATTTTTTTTTTTCAGCTCTAACACTTCTGTTTCACTGCCCGCAGCTATGTCCAGCTACTTGTTCATCGTTAAGTCAGAGTTTCCTCTGGTCATCCAGGCCTTCCTGAAGGCAGACAGCAACCATGGGTGAGTAACTGAGATCTTTAATGCTGGTGTTAAAGCCTGCAGCAAAATTAGTATGTTCTAGCTGTAGTAAGAACACAGTTTATTCCTTTATACATCCAACCAAGTTTGAAACCGTTCACTCATACTTTTCTAATCCTGCCTTGTTTTTGTTATTTTAGTACATCATTTTAAAAATATTTGAGAAGTTATTACTGTTTGTCAAGCAACCTCAGCTACAAATGAAATCATAAACTTAGTTTTAAGCACCTACCATTACTGAACAACACATCTGAAAGTGTCACAAGTGCAAATGCTAGAACTCCATAGGTAAGATTAACTTTAAAAGAAGGGGCTGGTTATAACAGTCTTTAGAGAATTCACTTTAACTCTGTGTTGTTTGAGCCAAACAGGTTTTCCAATCTAAATATATAGAAATATCTGTATTGGAATAATATGATTAGTGAGAGGGAATGTCAAACACTGGCAAATCTATTTTTGATCCTAAAACAAAACAGTAAATACCAGTAAGATAAAATTAGGAGATATTTTGTAGCTTTTATTACTGTTTACTTTTGGGGGTCTTCTAACCCGACCATGTGGAGGCTGAAATGTTATCTTGGCTGGTTTTCACTGCGAGTTGTTTATCCGCTTCAAAATGGCACTGTATTACAACCGCCAAGAGGGTGATTAAAATAATATAGGTATGAACTCTGTGACTTAAGCCCTAATGGAGCTGGATTAGTTTTGCCAGAGCAGGTCCAGTAATATCATTTGGGTATGATTTGACTGACCGACTTGTACAGGATAAAGAATCAGTGTAATTTCCCCAAAGTACCCCAAATAGTCTGGACTGAAACCTACTTGCGTGGGTGCTTAAACCAGTATTAGGTGACAGGTGCCACACTTACCAACAATAACAACATATTTTGTGGCTAAATGGCATATAGACTAGCGTCAGGCTAGTAAAGTGCACTCATTCAGCTTACAAGAGAGTAAACGGACTGCCCTCTTCTTGTTATTTGGTCACCACCAAAAATATGGATTTCAGTATTTGTTGTGGTCAGATGTCTCTTCACTGTCAGCTGTTGAACCCTGCAAATACCTGAGCTGCCATGGCCACCACTCCAAGATCTCAAAGCATCTGAAGGAGGTGGGGGAGCAACATATAATAGTGATTGGCCAGCTAGTTGTAGGTCAGCACCTGACTGGCTCCTGCTATCACTTTCCCACCGCACCTCTGACCTGCTGGTAAAGATAACTGCTGTAAGTAAGGCTGTCTTCGTGACGATGGTGCGATTTTGACCATTATCATTCACTCTGTCGAGCGTTCATAATGCCTCCTCCACCCCTGAGCTAAAAACAGACACCTGGCTGGAACGTCAGTCACCTGCTTTCTCTATGTTTAGAGCCATGTGTAGTGTCTTCTTTACCATGTATACTAACTCCGATCACGTGACTTCAGAGACGTTGGCCCATTGCCAGTATATTAAAATTTATGCTGGATTTTTACTCAAAATATATGTTTCTTTTCTCTGTTAACACAGTCAGCAGTACATGTATGTGGAGAAGAGCTCTAAACCAGCTTGAACTTGACCTTTGTTGGATGTTTAGAACGTAGTGTAGGAACCCAGTTAGTTAGGAACCCAGTGTAACTTATGCAAATGGTGGGCTCAAGATCAAAGGTGCAGCAGTAACTTTTCCAAAGAGCGCTGTCTAGAACACTTTGAAGGTGTACGCATGTGTTCTCGTGTGACCTGACACATGCATACAGTTTGATTTAGAAGTTGCCAAGGAATCTCCTTCCTTTAACAAGTGGGATTTCCAGTGAAAAATGAGTTGTTGTTATGAGATCCTTCATACACTTCACCCACATTCATACACCACAAAAGATGTTCTTCAAGGGTTCTTTAGTAAAGGCAATGGTTCTGTTTAGAACCATGAGTTATTTCATGCTTAAATGGATCTTTGCTTGGTGAAAGTGTTCTTCGGGTTGATGGAGAATGTGTTGTATATGGTTCTATACTTTTCTGAAAATGGTTCTATAGCACCATCTGTTCATGCGATGTAAAGCGTGACAATAGAAGAATCCTTTTGGTGCTATACACACTTAAAAACATGGTTCTTCAAGGGTTCTTTAGTAAAAAAATGGTTCTATATAGAGCCATGAAGTCTCAAAGAACGCTTTGCATGATTAAAGGGTTCTTTGTATCGTGAAAGTGTTCTTCAGATTGATGGATAATGTGCTGTATATGGTTCTATGTGGAACCTTTTTTAAAGGGGTTTTTCTGTTGTTACAAGCTTGACATTATAACAACAGCAGAACCCTTTTTGGTGCTATATAGAACCATTTCACTATGCAAAGGACCATTAACAGAAAAGGTTCTATATAGAACTCATGGTTATACATAGAACCATTTTTTACTAGAGAACCATTGAAGAACCATCTTTTTAAGAATGTATACACTCTTAAAATTAGGGTTCTTTAAAGGTTCTCTAGTAAAGAAAATGGTTCTATGTACAACAATGAACGCTCATGATTAAAGGGTTCTTTGCATCGTTAAATGGATATTCAGATTGATGGAGAATTTTCTGTATATGGCTTTACATAGAGCCTTTCTGAAAAGGTTTATAAAACACACTCTCCACCAGTCTGAAGAACCCTTTCATGATGCAAGGAACCCCTTAATCATGCAAAGAGTTCTTAAAATACTCATGATTCTATATAGAACCATTTTCTTCACTAAAGAACCCTCGAAGAATCAACTTTTTTAACCTACCATTCACAAGTTTGCAATCACTGTTCTTAATAATATAAACCCACTTTGTTGCAGGGAAACATTTAAAATAAGTCTATTATGATGCTGCTACTCTACAAGTCACTTATAGGAAGTTGTATAAAATGAAGAAATGTGCAGTGGTGTGAAAAAGTGTTTGCCCCCTTCCTGATTTCTTATTCTTTTGCATGTTTGTCACACACAAATGTTTCAGATCACCAAAGAAATGTAAATATTAGACAAAGATAACACAAGTAAACACAAAACACAGTTTATAAATGAAGGTCTTTATTATTAAGGGAAAAAGAAATCCAAACCTACAGGGCCCTGTGTGAAAAAGTGGTTGTCCCACCTGTTAAAACATAAATTAACTGTGGTTTATCACATCTTTGTAAGGCTGAGTTCAATTTCCCTAGCCACACCCAGGCCTGATTGCTGCCACACCTGTTCTCAATCAAGAAATCACTTAAGTAGGACCTGCCTGACAAAGTGAATTAGACCAAAAGATCCTCAAAAGCTAGACATTATGCTGCGATCCAAAGAAATTCAGGAACAAATGAGAAACAAAGTAATTGAGATCTGTCAGTCTGGAAAAGGTTATAAAGCCGTTTCTAAAGCTTTGGGACTCCAGCGAACCACAGTGAGAGCCATTATTCACAAATGGCGAAAACATGGAACAGTGGTGAACCTTCCCAGGAGTGGCTGGCTGACCAAAATTACCCCAAGAGCGCAGCGACGACTCATCCAAGAGGTCACAAAAGACCCCACAACAACATCCAAAGAACTGCAGGCCTCACTTGCCTCAGTTAAGGTCGGTGTTCATGACTCCACCATAAGAAAGAGACTGGGCAAAAATGGCCTGCATGGAGTTCCAAGACGAAAAAACACTGCTGAGCAAAAAGAACATAAAGGCTCGTCTCAGTTTTGCCAGAAAACATCTTGATGATCCCTAAGACTTTTGGGAGAATACTCTGTGGACTGACGAGACAAAAGTTGAACTTTTTGGAAGGTGTATGTCCCATTATTTCTGGAGTAGAAGTAACACAGCATTTCAGAAAAGGAACATCATACCAACAGTAAAATATGGTGGTGGTAGTGTGATGGTCTGGGGCAGCGCTGTAAAAGACTCATTGCCAGTTATCGCAAACGCTTGATTGCAGTTGTTGCTGCTAAGGGTGGCCCAACCAGTTATTAGGTTTAGGGGGCAAGCACTTTTTCACACAGGGCCCTGTAGGTTTGGATTTCTTTTTCCCTTAATAATAAAGACCTTCATTTATAAACTGCGTTTTGTGTTTACTTGTGTTATCTTTGTCTAATATTTACATTTCTTTGGTGATCTGAAACATTTGTGTGTGACAAACATGCAAAAGAATAAGAAATCAGGAAGGGGGCAAACACTTTTTCACACCACTGTAAGTATGCCAAATAATGAGCAGGGCTGTAGATGATTCCAAAATGAGGAAGATGTATAATGTTAAGAATGGAGTGTAACATTGAAAACAGCCACAATGTTTTGTATTTGAAAAGTGATGATCAAACCTTTAGGCAGATAACATATCAAATGCATTACTGTAAATATTTAGCATTTAATAGTGTTTTAATGTTCAAAAAAACTTGAAATATTGAATAAAACATCTTAAAATACTTTCTAGTGTCTAGTTCATAGTATTTAAATTCTTAATGTTGAAGCTATTATTATATAAAATAACAAAAACAAGTCAATATGTGACGCCAGGTTTTCCATAATGATAGTATTTACGTTAAAATGCAAGGCATTTGTAGGCAGATGTGGGGTACCATTGTACCATTAGACCACCCTTATAAAGGGTTTATGAATTATTTATTAATAAATAAAAAGGGCACTAGTGACCTGTGTCTTGCCAAGTTGTAAGCTCACATTCATCTACAGTGTTGAAGCTCAGATATGTTGGTTACTTATCTTACTTGTTCCTCTCCATCAGTCAGCATTAACACATATTCATGTTCATCACATAAAACAAGTCACAGTTGCTCTTTTTATCTATGTTATAACTGCTTATTAATGGTGAATTCATATCCATCAATAAACTAATTTTAAACTATTGATAAACGCTTTATAAGAATATACTTATTGTAAAGTGGTGCCCAGCTATGATATGATATGTATGCATGGATGACCAGATATAGCTAGCAGGGTCTTAACACTGCTATCATCAGTTGCACATGATGAGGCCCAAACAGATACTGTAAATAGAGCCCTCTCCGAAAAGATCTGTTCCTAACGTATGGTGCAACTCCAACACCTCTTGTGGAGTCGCTATATATCTATATGGTGGGGAACCCAAGGTCCTATGTGGGCATGCAGCCAGGTTTTGGTCAGTAGAAGGCTAAATCGGACCCGGCTGCAGTAACGATGTTAAGCTGTCGCATATATCATCAGAATTGCATAAGCTAGAGACGGACTCGAGCAGACTGGATCAGATGAAGACAGACAGTCAGAATCACTTATAGTAGTGTTTGGTTATGTGCTTGACTCTGTTTGCTCAGTGAATGATGGCTTTTCCATCATCTCCACAAGCATGGAAGATGCTCATATTGCTGTGACAGAAAAAGAAAGGCATGAGCTGAAAAAAGAACTGCTCTAAAATAGACATGGAACATTACAAAGAATTGTAAGAACATCTCTGTCTCCCTCTCCTTTAGAGAATGGTATTTGAATGGCAACTATTTGGTGGTTCTGGTCACCCTCTCTGTGATTCTGCCGCTGGCCCTAATGAAACAGCTTGGTAAGTGAAGTTGCTCAAACAAGTTCATATTAACTGGTTTTATTTATAATAAATTACATAGTGTAATTAAGCAAAGTGTTTATTTAATAATCTCACATTAAAATTACATATGACTGTAATTAGAGAACTTAATTAGTAGTAAACATAGATACAGTCATTTGTGAAGGTTTGAACGCTCTGTCAAATTACTGTTAATGTTTTGTTGATTTTCTTTATGTGAAAATAAGTTCTCTACAGGGAAAACACTTCAATGCAGCATTTTTCTGCAACTTTTAGGCACAGTTTCTATTTATTTGCTGGGTTTAACACATAATTATTTATTTATTGGAAATAAATTAAAATGTGCCTCATTTTATGTTTTGTTCCAAGATGAAATCTGACCAGGGTGCCCAGATATTTGCATATGACTGTAAAACAAGAATGTTTGAAACCACTTTTGTGCAGAGACACAGTCACGATGAATAAAATATTAATATATCACTGTTGTCAGAAGAAAACCTATATCCATTTTGATGTTTTTTCAGTTTTTGACAAAATTTGAAAATACCGGTTGCTCTTTACATTGTATGTAAATTTAATGATGAATGGACTATAAGAAATGACTGAACATTACCTGGAAAAAAGTCTGGTTGCATTGACTTACATTAAAAGTAAAGTAGGTTTTTTCCTTCTCCTGTAAAGTTACCATTTTGGAGATATTTTGCATTATGCAGCTTGTCTGTCTCATGTCACCAGTCTGGGTTTCATATATATATATATATATATATATATATATATATATATATATATATATATATTATATATATATATATATATATAAACAGGTGGCCTTTATAATGTGTGAACATTTCATAATTAGCAGAAATTGTCCAAAATTACAATATTTGAAAAAAAAACTTTTTATTTTTCTTCTATTATAAGATAAAAATGTACTAAATTTACTATGTTGGAGATGTTAGAGGTTTTGTTCCAGCAGCGATGATGTGCTTGCTATTTGTATTAGCTGTAACTTCTTGTGGTCATTTTCCTCTTTGTTGGTTAGGGTAATATTTCATTTTTATGAATTTTATTTTTATTTAATACGTAATACATTACATAACCAATATGATAATATTATTTTACATCCATCAAGGCTTGGCAGGCCTGTTTTGTTTAGACACTGATGAATGATATATATCTTAATATTTGCTCTTAAAAGCCATTGACTCTCGCCGCGGGTGATAACAGAGTGGTGAAATCGTTTGCCGTGTGGAATCTGGCTTTGTTCCCATGGCTGATCTTTTCTTAGAATGGAACGTAACAGCTATGCGCTTTCTGCTCCGTCTGTCGGCAATGGCCGCATACTGACATGCCGCCCTGCTCTTTATCCCGCAGGTTACCTTGGTTACGCCAGTGGCTTCTCTCTCAGTTGCATGGTCTTCTTCCTCAGTGCGGTATGTAGATGATCCGTCACCTCCGTCTCGTATTCTGTCTCATGTCATCCGTCTGATGTGATGTAAATAATATTGAATCAGTGTCAGTGGAAAATGGAATTAATATGTTGCTAATGTGAGTAATGTGAGCAGCACTGAACGAGTGTGACAGAAAACCCGCTGGCCGGTAGAAACACGTTTGTAGCTTTATGGATTGTTTAACTACCGCAAAAAGGCGATTAAGTAAATAAAACATTCATCTGGACAATAACTGTGTTTTTGCTTATGAAAACATATAACATTAGAATGCATGTGGTAAAAAGTAATAAGAATTTCTTATTTTCCAAAACGTAGAAGCTACTGGTTAGAAGAAGACACTTGGTTTGTGACATCTTGCTGCACTTGAGCCATGACATGGATTTGTTCAATTCAATCAGCATTTAATGATTGTTTAATTAACCAAACCAGGTGTTGGATGATAACTACAAATAATACTGGGCTTATTCTAGGAGAGCTTTGGAAATTATTAAACAAAAGTACTGATGTACACAAAATCAGTACTTCTGTTATTAATGTCAATTGCTTTCAATGTCAATATTAAATAAATAAATAAATAATATATATATATATATATATATATATATATATATATATATATATATATATATATATATATATATATATATATATGTATGTCAATATATAAAAAGTATTTTTATTGCTATATAATGGGCCCTGGCCGGACAACATAATATATAGTTGTATATAGTATATATACTATATAGTATATAGTTGTTCAGGTCTTGCAGTATGAAACTTAGTGTGACATTTATATTAATAAAAGATGCATTGTGAAGTTTATTTATTCCTGCATCCATATTAAAAGAATATACTATGTGAAACATTTTGATTTGGACCACATTTATATACTCAGCAGTCTGTTCAGCTGTTTAACACTTTATCTCCCCTCAGGTCATCTATAAGAAGTTCCAGATCTCCTGTCCATTTGAAGAGTTCTCAGCCAATAGCACGGCGATACACCTGCACTCGAACGTCTCCGCATTTACTGACCTCGCCCACAGTTACGACAATGGACACTTGGTGGACGAAGACCACTGCTCTCCTCGTATGTTCACCATCAACTCTCAGGTACTCTGTGCTGATATAGTTTAAATATTACGTGCCTTACAGTATGGATGCTCAATCCTGGTCCTAGAGATCCACCACCCTGGAGAGTTCCAATCCAACACACCTGGCTCTACTATTCAGATGCTCCTGAAGGCCTTACTTACTGGATCAGGTGTGTTTGATTAGAGGTGGAACTAAGCTGTGCAGGCTGGTAGATCTCCAGGATCAGGATTGGGCACCCCTGCACTACAATATGGCATGAAGACAACAAAGAAAATATGCTGTGTTTCATGTTTATGTTTTTTCCTCCATAGACGGCATACACCATCCCCATTCTGGCCTTTGCCTTTGTCTGTCACCCTGAAGTGCTGCCAATCTACACTGAGCTGCGCAAGTGAGTTTGAGACATGCACTCTTTTTTTTAACAGCCCACTCTGTTATGCACTAAGTTGCCAGTTTATTAAGTACACCTACTAAATTCTTGATGTTATTGGATATTTTATTAAGTGCAGCTGCCACATAGGTGCACTCTGGTTTATTATTAAAGTAGCCCATTTGCTGCTTCACAGTTTGTATAAGTGTTTTAGGTGTGACAGCATCGCTGGGATAAAGTGTTACAGTGTAAAAACCCCAGCAATGCTGCTATGCCTGATACCAAAGATACCAGTGCTGCAAATCACACCATGTTGGTGTCATTGCTGTGCTGAGAGTGGCCAACCACTCAAATTATATGTAGGTAATATAGGTTATTATAGGTATAAGTATTTTACGATGTTTTATTTATTAAATATCTCAACTTTGAGAACATTAAGAAGATATTCAATGCTAGATAATATACTTTAATTACTTATTAATAATAATAAGTTATTTGCTTTGAGATTTGACTGCCACTTTTCAAATACAAGGCAAAAAATATGGAAAAAAATATTCCAAATGTATTTATCAAATGGCCAAAAAATGTATTTGATAAATATATTTTTTAACACATTTATTTGTATTTGTATTATATTTTTTCAATTGTATGTAGTTTTAACAAAGGTTACAGATATAACTAAACACATACATTAATTGAATGAATGGTAATGACTGTGTTTTGCACTGTACTTTGCATTAACCGTGTACACACACTCACACAAAATGCATTTCAAATAAACAAGATATCAAATCATAACTGCATTTTCACAGAGTATCAATACCAACATCACCTGCTTTTGTTATGTTAAAGATTCATTTGCTAATATTTAAAATTAAGCTACTGGAATATACATTCATTTTAAACAGTGAAGTGCGTTAGACAAGTATTTTTCATTATGGAATTGTCATTCTGGACACAACTAATATTTTTTCATTTTTATAAATAGTCTTTAAAGTTGTAAAATATCAGTGTCATAATAAAATAATTGTATACTCTCATTTGCAAATGTTTGCCAGCCATGGTGACATTACATTTCAGTGTTGAAACCCTGCAAAACATGTAAATTGACCATAAGTATTCAAACTTTTACATACAAATGTGCATGTATTACGTATTTTTAATATCATTTAGTATTGAAAACAGTGATTTTGTGATATGTGTTTGTAAATTTAAATCTCTCTGATTGCAGCCCCTCTCAAAAGAAAATGCAGCAGGTCTCCAACATCTCCATTTTAATTATGTACACCATGTACTTCCTCGCTGCCCTCTTTGGGTATCTGACATTCAAAGGTGAGATGTGTTTGACATTTGACTTTCTCTGACCTGAGGGCAGTGTGCAAAATAATTCCTGGTATTTGGGGGTTTCCATGTTGACTCGCTACTCCAGCGTTGATTATCTGCTAACTTGCTCGCTATAGCAGTGCTGATGATTCAGTGGCAACAAAATATTTGGTTTAACAGTTCCTCTTTTGGAAATGCTCCTTTCTAGTTTGATAATGTGCTCTTCAGCATGCTGAGATCTTACACATCCTCTTTTGTCCTTGGTTTGAGTAATTAGTAACAATTCACTCTTTTCACCAAACTATTGGAAAATTGGGCAACTTTCCAGATTTACATATGTGCTGTGGTATATTGTAAGGTTTTTCAGAGGTATGCGGAGGCGGGCATAGTTATAGTTATAGCTGAAGGACCAACTGGGTGAACCAATTTGCTACAGCGCCACCCTGAGGCAGACCAGTGCTACAGCTCTAGTTAGTTAAGAATACCAAAGACAAGCTCGCTGATTGTGGGTGGAGCAGCTAAACAATGACCTTTTTCCTTAAATTTGTATTTGAGCCTCTGTTTTTTCCTAGCAAATAGCATAACGTCATTTTCAGGGACCCCCAGAATTTTGATTTTGAGACATTCAAGGGGTCCAAGAGGTTATTTAGGGAATTCTGGACCCCCCAGGCTCCCCTGTATTTTGCATCTTGCCTGAAGGCCTTCTTAACAAATGTATATCTTTACAATTTTCCCTGTTTTAAGACGCAGAATACATGGAAATGAGGAAGTTAGCCATCTGCCATTAAGAAAATAAAGTCATGCTAGTCTAACACATTCATTCATTATAATCCACATTAGCATTTTTGGGTATTTAAGATTTCTTTTTATTACCTAAAAACCATTTTGAGGCCTTTAAAAAGTTCACAGCAGAAGTCAATTCTAAATTGACATAATTACTTGTGGCAGATGAAAGAATGTAATTGTTTTCTCATTGTAGAAAATGTGGAGGCTGAGCTGCTGCACACCTACAGCCGCATTGACCCCTATGACACTCTGATCCTCTGTGTGCGATTGGCTGTGCTCACAGCGGTCACACTGACTGTGCCAATCGTCCTTTTCCCGGTGAGATCAAAGTTTGTAGCTCAATCCTACACTGCAGACTTCTGCTGCTGAACACACATACATGTCATGTAGTGTCATTTGGACACAGACTCACTCAAAGTGCCCTTTGCTAAAAGAGATAATAAAACATTTTTGTTGTAATACTCAGGTGCGCAGGGCCATCCAGGAGATGCTCTTTCCCAATAAGACCTTCAACTGGCTTCGTCATATCGCCATTGCTGTCGTCCTCCTCACCTTCATCAACATGCTTGTTATCTTCGCCCCAAACATCTTGGGCATCTTTGGCATCATTGGTGAGTCTGCCTGACAACACAGAAATAGAGAGAACAGGTGTGACATTTCAAGACCAGAGCAGGGGATCTGAACCTTTCTACCTCAAGGCCCACCTATTTATCATTATCATTAGAAAGCATGAAAGCCAACAGGAAAACACGACTCAACTTTTTGGATTAAAATGTTCGTTTTTGGGAATTTTTCAACACTGCTGGTTTTGGGTGCCTAACCCTTCAAAATGTGACATGAATGAATGAATCCGTTAACGTAAAATAACAGATTAGGCGAAAGTGAACTTCTTTAATATCAGAAATCTGCAATTTAAGCAAAATAAGTAAAATTAACACAGTTTACAACTACTGACCACTGATTCCCAACACCCCCCGCCACCCACCCCCAAGGATTGGCCCGAGGACCACCAAAGTGTAGTTTCCATGGCCCAGGGGTCGGAGTTAGAATATGTATTTTATCACTTTGCCTGTATAACATGCCAAAAGGATTCTTTTTTTACATGCCATAGAACAACTACAGCTTTAATTGGGCCTGAAATTTTGGTCCAAACTCAGGTACAGCCTGAGACTTTTTGTCCGACCCACATCACATCAAGTTTTAAATCCAAAACTGATCTGAGTACAAACAAAATTCTGTTCAGAACTGTTTCAAATCAGCCCACAGTGCCATCAAACCTGTAAGGGTAATGCTGGTTAAATTACTGCATGGCAATAGTAATAACTATTATTAGATCACAGACCGATAAAAAATAATATAATGATATAAAAATGATATAATGATGAAAGTATATAATAAATTAATCAGTTGTCCAAAATTAAGTTGAAAATCCGCTTGAGTGAATTTATTCATCGAGCAATTCTTTTAAACATCGCGAAGCTTTTTAGTCTGGATAAACTTCCTCAATTTTATTTCCCACACATCCATTTACTGACGACTGTGGGCCTCATTGAACTCTTAAGTTATGAAGGCAAAGATAAAAAAAAAATCAGTAGAAAGACTACAGCAGAGAGAAATACAGGGGGAAATCTGTTAAAACTGGGAGATGGGCTGTAAGAACCTGAACGTAAAATTTGAACCCAACCATGTCCGTCACGCTAGGGAAATGACATCTGAAGTTCTAAGAAGTGCTTTTGGATAAGAACCCCTACATAATGCAAAGGTTCTATGTAAATTCAAAGCTTGTTCTTTAATTTTGTTCATTCCATATAAAAGTTCTTTAGGCAACCGAAGGTGGCATGATAACATAGCTCTAAAACACGCTTTTTGCCCCTTTACTTTTGAATACTGGTCAAAGAACATACAAGATACAGCAGTTCCTGGGTCATCCAGGATACAGTAAATAAACGTGTTTAGCAGCAAATATACCAAAATAGAGCTAAATGTGTCAGTCTTAGTTTTACCATTTATATGCCTGATTTTGTGCTGTATTATAGTTCAGCTTCACTCAGTGTATGAGCTTGTTCTATTGACAATGAAGTGGCTGTTGTCTCCGGCCTTGAGGAGTGCTTTGAACGTAACCACTCCTTGTTTTGAAATAGTTAAAGCAGATGCTAAGTCAATATTTTCCCTGCAGTCGCTCAAAAATGAGCCGTGTGTCCGGGTACAAAAGGTTGTATTTGGGGAGCGCTCATCCCGTGCCAAGCCCGTGACATTTTCCTGAACATGTACACTGCAGTAAAAGCGTTATACAGGGGGGAACATCAACGAACACAACCATGAACCAGTTTTAAGCCAGAACTGCAGATTTACAACTTGTAATTTTGCAAACATGAGTCCATTAATTGTGTTCTTTTCCATTAATTCTGAGCCTGAATGTGAGCTTGATGTACATTTTGTAATTCATAAATATTGCTAAAATTATTTTTGTATATTTTTTCTTTGTATATCGCTGCTGTCGGAAGAAAACCTCCATTTTTGTCGTTTTTCAGTTTTTGACATAATTTTAAAAGGCCTGTTCTCCTTAACATTGTGTCAAAATTTCATAATGAATGGACCAAAAGAAATAACCCAAAATGACTTGGGGAGTCTGGTTCCATTGACTTACATTAAAGGTAAAGTAGGTTTTTTCCTTCTCCTGTAAAGTTACCATTTTGGAGATACGAGGTTTTGTTCCGATAACAGCGATATGTTTTTGTTTATATGGAACACTGCTGTGAAGATTTGCATTCAGCCACAAGAGCATTAGTGAGGTCAAGTACTGATGTTGTATGATCAGTTCTGGAAGTCCAGCTCATCCCAGAGGTGTTGGATGGAGGTCCATCACTTCCGAGAACACAGTTCCACTGCTCCACAGCCCAATGCTGGAGGGGCTTTATATGACCTCATGCTCCTGTAAAGCTCATCCAGAGTGTCCTGTTCTATTGACAGTGCTTTTCTATGGTGATTATATAATGGGTGCACCTTAAAGTAGCTGAATTCACTAACCAGAAGGGCTGTCTAGATACTTTTGGACATATGTGTATGTCATCATTGACTGGACAACGGGTAGCAGCAGTGCTGCTGGTGGCCACTAGGGGACAAACGCTGTTCTGTGTGTATGTGTTTGTTATAATATGAGTATGTAGAGGGAAGAGTTAATTAATTAATTAATTAGTTTAAAAAGTTCATTCATTAGAAGGGCTGTCTGGATACTTTTGGACGTACAGTGTTTTCATTGTTTGAGATGAGATAATCGCCTGTGCTTCTCTTTTTCTTCAAGGTGCGACATCTGCCCCCTGCCTCATCTTCATCTTCCCCGCTGTCTTTTACATACGCATCGTCCCCAAAGATGACGAGCCCATGCGCTCTACCCCCAAATTAGTGGTGAGTTATTCTTCTCTGAATATCAGCTCTAAGAGGAGCTGCTTTGAAAAGGTTTATGATTTACAGTTGCCCATGAACCCTCTATATTTGCTTTTAGTTACATTGGGTCCACTTTCTAGATTTCAAATAATGTCAACAATCGTTGGCAAACTTAAATGAGCTGTTAGGTAAGTCTGAGTCTAAAGGGATGTTTAATATGGTACTGTTATTTGTCATGTTATTCATTATTCTGTAGTGCAGCACTGTATCTGTCAGCCTCCTCGGTTTGACAGAATTTATGATTTTATATCATTTTCATGTCTTTGTTCATCAGTGTTATCTCACTGCTGTACCCAGCATGCATTGCACAAATGCAGTATGCAACCAATCCCCTCCTCAACAAAGAAGTCCCCTGATGTAGAAGTTAATAAATACAGACATGATATTTGGCTTCCTAGCAGTAACATGACACTTTTTTTAAGAGGTGCCTCAAATGGTTCTTTTGAGCAATACCATCGAAGAACCATTTTAGAATAATCAAAGAACCATTTCTTGAAAATGAGATGTGTAAAAGTGAAGTGAAAGTTTCTTCAAGGAAACAAAAATTAGAAAAAACAAAAATGGTTCTTTGATGACATCATGAAAAAGACCCTTTCTGGCACCTTCATTTTAACCCTTGTGTGGTGTTCGGGTCTGTGGGACCCATTTTCAGTGTTTACCAAAAGAAAAAATGATGTGATGTATTATTATTTCAACCCCAGATTCCTTGGCCGTTGCTCATTTTCTGGGAAGAACATAAAATAACACATTTTCAGTTTCCTCACTCTGTTCACCCCCACACATTTATATTACACATGTGGTGTTGGGCTGAACCTGCGGGGAGTAAAAATGTGGAGGTGCTGTGTCCTTCACTCTGTTCTCCTCCTACATGGCCTGCTGTTAGTGTGTGTGTGTGTGTGTGTGTGTGTGTCCGTGTATGTGTTTGTATATATGTGTGTGTGTGTGAGGGTGGACAACATGGACAGGCTGCTGACTGGCTACAGCTGCTATAGAAGACCCCTATGCTTTCCACTTGTGATGTTTAAACATCTGGTATTTTTACATAAATTGTTATGGCTGTATTAATTTAAAAAAAAATTATGTGGTGGGTCCACCAGACCACCGAGTAACAAACACATCAACACCACACAAGGGTTAAGAGTGCAGCTGTCTGGCTTCAACGGCTAGCAAGGGGAAGCATTTCAGACAGTTCACTCTCTCATATCCGCCCTAAAGTGCATTTCAGAAGTTCAAAAGTTTTCTTCAAGACACGTCGTCAGCAGGGGGTTTTTGTAGTCTTGAAACCAGAACATCACTCTCTAGAATCTACTGCAGCACCACTTTAGGATGCAAATGGGCATGTGTACAGTAGACATAGCAATGGTTAAGTTTTTATGGTTACATTTTTCCCCTTTTAGAACCAGAATTAAACATGGTGAGGCAGCATTCACCCATCACGCTGCCGTCAGTTGGAATAAACTTCCTGAAGCTATGAGCTCAGACTGACAGTGTCTTTAAAAATAGACTGAAAACATATCTGATAAACTGTGCCCTTTACACAGATTAAGCGTCTGTCAGCACTTTATTGAGTTAGTCCTGCTGAAGGTAAAAACTAAACATGGAGAAGCAGCATTTAGATACTATGCTGCTCTTAAGTGGAACCAGTTGATAGAGAGCATTAGAAGAGCCCCAACAAGTCCAGGCTCAAAACGTTCCTGTTTAAGCAGCTTTCAGTGCAGTTTAAAACACTGTTAGCTCTGCTGCACTTCTGTCCTCTAATTTAATTTTTTATTTTGTTATTAACTTTTTAATTATCATAATCTGATTTCTAATTTGATTTTTAATTTAATGATTTAATCTTTGAAATCTATTGTCAATCATGATTTAATCATGTTTTTAATTTCTGTTCTCTTTTACTTTTTTTAGTTGTTATTTTCTCATTTGTAAAGCACTTTGAACGACAGCAGTGAATGAAAGGTGCTATATAAATAAACTTGCCTTGCCTTTAATGCAAAATATTCAAGTAACTGGTACAGCCTGGTTTAAGATTTCATCCTGTGTTTTTGTAACCAATGTCACAGCAAAATATGACTGTTATACAAACTGATTCTACCAGAGCAAAACAGCTTATGAATTTCTCTCTCTCTCTCTCTCTTTCTCTCTCCCTCCTTAGGCTGCCTGTTTTGCTGGACTGGGTGTTTTGTTTATGATTATGAGTTTGAGCTTTATTATCATTGACTGGACAACGGGGAGCAGCAATGCTGCTGGCGGCCACTAGGGGACAATCTCTGATGTGCATTGAAGTGTTTGTAATAATATGAGTGTACTCGGGAAGAGCTGATGATGTATTGAGGGTTGGGCATATTTGTTTCTTTTTTTTTATCTGTTTTTAGTGATGTGGAGAAATGTTTCCCAACCCAGTCCTCAAGATGCACATTTGTGTTCTGTTCTAGCTTACAGTACAACTGAACCAGGTTATAAAACATTGGAAGCTGGAACAAGTAAAACTAAATGCAGACCAGCTTTACGAGGGCTGGCTTGGGAACCTCTGGTGTAGACGATGCAATACCCCTCCAATGATAAGAGAGTTAAAGGGTTCAAGTTAGCCACTTGTACAAGAAAGCAATTTTGAAGGCTGGTGCATCCTGACCTGTCATACAGAAAAGCTGTCTTCTGCTTCTCTACCTTTTCATCTTTCCTCCAGCTTTTTTTGTGATCTACAGCCAGTTGTGTAGATAAACACAATCACATCCTTTTCAGTTTTGTAGTACTGACAGCACATGCTTTGTAAAAATATCACGATTTCAATCTTTTATTAGGTCTTCTTTAAAAACTAGTAGGATATAGAAAAATACTGCTTAGTTTTATTTCTTAGAGACAGAAAATTCATTTTGTAGTGCCTTTCACTCTCATGGCAGCGATCACTTTCCCATTTAGGGTTTGGGCACAAGTGATAACACTGAATGTAGAAGGACGTGTGGACGTGCGTGTATATAGACACTTTACAGTTGCTGTTGGAGAAACCGGTCTGTGGTGCACGTATAGTCTCAAGTAGGGGTGGGAAGATATGATGGTGTTTGTTATCGTTAGTTTTGGGTGATATGCTGGTTTAACCTTCCTCAAGAATGAGTTTTGTCATAACTGTTACGCTGGTTTGCCACAAACAAATGCAGATTACGTGACGTACAAACAGTGCAAATCATGCTAACCAGAACTTTTATAATGAGACTAATATAAGACTCAGATATTTTAATGGGGTGGCACACTGATAGAAAAAATAATAAAATAGTGTTACTGTATTAAAATGATGTAAAAGTATTTTTCTCCCTACGTAATTAAATCTGTCATTTTCACATAAAGAAGATGTTACATCAATACAACTGTTGCTGAAAGTAAAACTAAAAGACAAAACTGTTGATGTAACATATTTTAGCCATTCATGAGGAAATTATGTATTTGAATCAAGTAAATTAAATGCATCACTTTTCAGTGCAGAACGTTACAAAAAACATTTCATAAAGACAGGCCATCACCTTCAATACATGGATGTATGTATTGAAAAATGACTGGTTAGAATGATAAACAATTATTGCTGACTAATTTTTGGTAGTTAACTCATCTTACTATTGCATAGCCTACTTCATAATGTAGCTTAGGCCGTATTCACACATACTGCTTCTGCACGGTAAAATAAAAAAGAAAAATTTAAAAAATTAAGAAAAAAAAAAAAGTCATGAAAATCAGCTTAAAACTTACAAACACAATTTTTTTACATTTAATGTAGTTGACAATGAAATACTAGTTAAACATTCTGTGCTGCAGACAGATTTCCCAGTTGGTCCACCAAACTTTAAACTTTTGCCTAATCAGAAGTCAGAATGCTGTCGAGGATAAACTAATGTACTGTGTACTTTCATAAATGATGTATTTGTTGAGCAGAGTCACTGCTGTGACCCTTTATCTGTCTGGAAAAAGGAATGTGTGTAACTTTCTCGCTGCGCCGCACCGCAGCACAAACGCTGTATGTATGAAAGGCCAGCGTGTTCGAGCCGTAGCGCTCATGCTGCCGCGTCGCTCACACCACTCAGAAGCAGTATGTGTGAATAAGGCCTTGCATAGCAGAACTGCTGACCCTAGTGCACATTCTGTTACCTGAGCAAATTAGCCTATCATGCTGCTCAAATGATTAAATGTTAAATGCAGAATCATCGTACTCATAATTACCGCTGATTGGTAACTACCACGATGGCAGACTTTCACCAGAAAATGTAATTGATGCTTTACTGATTAGGAGATGACTGATGATGGTTCACTGTCTCACTTTCCATAGTTGGGAAACCCCTGGCCACCCCCCTACGCCCCTACGCCTCTGACTCTAACATTATCCCATTTCTCTGAGTGGCTGATTCATGGGTCTGAGTATGTGGGAGCACTTATGAAACTAATGACTCAAGAAATGTGACAAAGTTGGCTTCTCATTTGGATTTCCTGTTCCACCTTAAATAGTGCGGTGGTTACATTCAGGCACCAATACAGATGCCAGTATGTAACTGCTGCTGTATTTAGGGTGGAATGGAAAATTCAGTCTAAAAGCTGTCCAATAAGAAGCCAAATTCAGCCTTGTAGAAATACAGACGTTAAACAACATTTAGCACCGCAGGGCTAATGTTGAAAGCAATATTGACTGGTTTATCTATATCTGATCTATATATGGTTTGGATTTTTTACCTAGTTTGTGCAATAAAAAATATTTTAAAAATGTTCCTTATTAAAAAGCGAAGGGACATCCCAGAGGAATAAGCCGCTGTTTACTTACAAAAATACATCTAAAATGGTTTTATTTGAAAAAAAAATAAGCCATACTGCGCACTACTAGTTATCAGGATAAAATCAGACACTTCATAATATGCTTTTCGTAGCATATTGTGGATATCGTCAGTACTTACAGAACTGGCCAACTGCATGTTTCATTACAAAGAAAACGTAATTAGTTCCTGTTTAATTGGATTTAGTGCAGCACAGTATGTGAACTGTTGATCAAAAATCTTCGTATCATTGTATTTATATAACGCACAAATGTATCCTGTGGCACTGCTGCGGCTTTTCCCTCCGTTCCAACTTATCAAACCTCAGAAAAACGAAATATGTGTTTTGTGCAAATGTCTTGAAGTATCGCAATATTATACTGTATTTTTACCATATCTCCCACCCCTAGTTATGAGTGCATCACAGTGGATCAAACCAGCCATCACATTATTACCTACTGCCAGTAACCTGTAGTCAGTCCTGCTCTTAGGTTGATTTGCAGTGCAGTTAATTTCGCTGTAGTATTTCGACATGCCAAAGCAACCGCTCTGTGGTTTGAGATTGATTATTTATCATAAAGTATATAAGTTCCTCCCGCATCTACAGTACGCACAGCAGGGGGTGACAGAGATTGTTCATACTGAGACAAACAATAAGTTAACATGTATTTATTGAGATGTATGATGTTTTTTTAAGTCACTAGATGAGTTTTTGAAATCACATAAGAGTGTAGAGTGTATTTAACCATATGATCTTATTTTCTGTAAAAGCTCAGAATGAAAACAGTCATTTCTATATATACATATACATATCTACATTAAACAGTCTGTGTTTAAGGCGACATATGTTGAAAGTTTGAAAGTATTGTCGGCTTTCTGTGTGAACAGTATGCATTAAGCCATATGCATGAGTGTTTAAACCTACCTAAACCTAAAAGATGTAATTTACTTGGTGTAGAAATGTTTATACTCTTTTTAAAAGTCATTTCTATTTAGAGCTCACTCTGTGTCCACCATGCTTCCTGTATGTCGCTTTATGATGTTTATGAGCTGTTCCTCACTGGTACCAGTGTAAAGTGATCTGAAATGTACTTGTTAAACGATGCAGTGTACTACTGGATTGAGGTCTGCTATTAATGTTCATTTGCTGGCTTCAGTTAAACTTGAAAGGTACCAGTTCACATGACTGCTCAAGTAGTGTTTCATGCCTCTCGTTATTGGTCTTTTTACATGTGTGGCATTTGTAGATCTAAAAGATAGTATGATGTGAAGCCTTTGACTTCTTACAGATGGGAAAATGGCTAGCTGTCTTAGCTTTAGCCCACACGTTTTAGAAACACCCTAAACATTAATACCTACAGACAAAACAGCTGTTTATGCATCGACACAACAAATATGATGAGTGGAGATTTTACAGAACCAAGGACAGAAAGATTTTGACTACTTAATAAAAAAAACAGGAATGGCCAACATTAGTTCAAAATAGCTAGCATTAGCATTAGCGCACACTGAAAAATGGGCTCATCTGCTGAAAAAATGACATTCAAATGACATGAAAAGTAGAGTTTTTATTTCTCTGATTCCGAATTTGAAAGCAGTACCAGTTCTAACTTCCATACTTTCTCATCAGACAAGTTACCATGTGCCAAAACGCATCTCTATTTCCTTTTTGCTTTTACATATATATTTACTGAGAATATATATTTGTGATACATTTTTGTGAATAATTTTTAATTTATATTTTTAGTATTCAACATTGTGTAACTAGAGAAAGAATGAAAAAAGGCCTCCTGTTTAAATTACTCATACAGTAACTCTAATAAAGCTGCTGATTGTTTTTTTCATTAAAGAAGTTAATTGTCATTTATATTCTATTTTGAATAGCTTATTATAATTAATTTCACTTTCTCACCTGACCAGATTAGTTACAAGGCTGATTTTACAGCTGTTCTCTTTCTTTCACATAGAATGAAACAGAAGGTTTAGAAATTTCCTATACATTTATGTGCAGCTTAGACAAACCTTTCATCAAGAACCCTATTAACAATGTTGCTGCATCTTCTTGAGATTACGCTCAGAACCACCGCACAATTCCTGCCTAATGATTTGTGTTAAGCATGAATAACTTTTTGTTTATGATTTATTTTGTGGCTATATGGTTAAACACAATGCATACATAAATGATGTACAGAAGTGTTATCCCTTCTTATCTGATATTAATATCTAGTTTGTATAGTGTAAATAGCAGGACTGGTTTTAGTTTGACAGTAAATAAATATATTTGTTTTTAAGCCTGTATCTGTTGCTTTTTTTAATTTATACAGTCATAGGCAAAGGTTTGGGTGCCCTTGATCAAATGATGTCAATTTTCTAAGTGAAAATAAGTTACACATCCTCTACAGAGAACACATTATAAATATAAAACATAAAATGTGCCCTGTGCAAAAGTCAATATATATTTTTAACACGTTAAACTCAGCAGATAAATAGAAATTGCCAGCTTGTTTTCACTTAGAAAATCAACAAAGCATTTAATTTGACCAGGGCTTTTCAACCGCTTGCATACAACTGTACTCTTAAAAATACAGGTTCTCGAATGGATCTTGACTTGCACGTGTTCCTAAGAAAAAAACTTAATTGCTGTAGAACCTTTACACTATGCATAAGTTTTTTTTTTTTAACTTTAAGGTTCTTCACATTCTCACATCTCATTCTTTAAAGAACCATTAATTGAAAGGTTCTGTGGGTTGTTCAGGTTGTTCTATGGCATTGCTTCAGAACCCTTTCTGGTTGCATTTGGCACCTTAATTTTTAAGAGTGTATTTGAAGAGTTTTATAAGGTATTAACCATAAAATAAGAATGAACATTTCTTGTAAAGCCCACTACTAACAACACATTAAAAAATAATAAATAAAATAGCCAGTAGCATTTAATGCATTTTGGAAGAAACTCTTTTTTTTATTATTTTATTGATTATTTTTTAATCAATACAACCTCATTACACTTTTCTCTGGGAGGTTTTTTTATTCCCCTTGTGAACCTATTTTACTCTGTTTCTGGGTCAAATATTCATCTCTGTTGCCAGAAAAATCACTACAGATAAGCAAAGCACATAATACAGGTAAATTTACCTCAAACCAGCTTCAAAAACAATATCTGTCCTGTGAAGAAAAGCTATGAGAGTCTATGTGGCACATTTAGGTGGACTACAAGGACATACACAGTGGCTTCACTAAACTAGTACTCCATTCTTGTTATTATTACTATTATTATTATTTTTATTAATATTATGTTCAAATAGCAGCAGGTAGACCATTCAGTTACGTCATAGGACAACATACACCGTCCAGCAACTTCATTAAGTACATCTTGTTTCTACACTCATTGTCCATTTTATCAGCTCCACTTACTATATAGGTGCACTTTGTAGTTCTACAGTTACAGACTGTAGTCCATCTGTTTCTCTGCATACTTTGTTAGCCCCCTTTTACCCTGTTCTTCAATGGTCAGGACCCCCACAGACTGGACAGTGAGTGGACACAGTGTTTAAACTCCAGCAGTACCCCATTATAAAAGTGTCAGACCAAGTTTGCACTACTGACCATGCAGAAATTACAGCCCAGCAGACAGAACTTGTATAGTGGCTCTAAGTTGGACAGTCAACAATTTCTGAACATATGGGGGCGCCAAAGATTCACTTTCCAGTTCTCTGTGGATATTTAGGTGAATTCCGCTGAATTAAGATGATTTTTTTTTTTGCAGTGCCTCTCTGTACCATAATAACTATAATTCTCAAGCAGTATATTATAAAATCAGTCAGACATTCAGTAAACAAAATAACTTGTGTCTTTTATATATGTATAATATAATATTTGAAATAGATAGATCTGAAAAATGTTCCCAGTATATAAAGTCATATATATATATATATGACTTTATTTACTAGGCACATTTTTCAGATCTGTTGTTTGGGCAAGAGGGGTTGGAAAATACTTTACAAACATCCATTTGTCCAATTTCCTGACGATCAAATCGTTAAGTTAGTTGAGTGGTTTGGTGTGAAATGTTCAGTTCTAGAGAAGTTTACTGAGTCTGAACTGTTCACAGTGGTGGTGATAGGAACCAGACGTCTGAAGAGTTTAATGCCTCCAAAAGCTTCCTCACATAAAATTATTACACAAAATGGGTTACAAATATGTTGCCTGAAGCCTAAAACATTGTTTTATGATTATGATTGTTTTATGAGTTTTGAGATTTGCTTTTGGGCTAAAAATTGGCCTTTTTATTTATTCATGGTGGAGAGGTACACGCAGGTTGTGTAAGGCAAAACAGTCCCTCCAAAAATGTTACCATCATTAAATTTACATATAAAAGCTCAGAAGACATGTGCAGGTCCACTGGTGTCCGTAAGTGTCTCCACAATAAACCACTGTGAATGACTTTGTTTAAATCTCATGAACTGAATTATGCAGAAATGTTGTTTTATGAAAATATACAGCCAATTTATAGCAGAGCAACTTGAAACTGCCCACAACTACGCTAATTTGTCATCTTTGTGTGAGGAACAGTAACACCAATTAGGTGACTCACCACACAACACCAAACACGGGAAACTTCTTTGTTATAACATTTACTTTTTACCCTCAAATAACTGAGTATGTTTGTATGTATAAGCATTTTTTACTTTCGCTCAACATACTCAAAATACTTTTACTGAAACATAATTTTTCAGTATTTTTCAGCCCTGCTCGGGCACACAGTAAACTGTAGGGGTGCAGATTGATTCTGAAAAACTGATATTTACAATCTTGCCTTTCTTTTTGAGAATCAATCCTCATATGACAATATCGACACTAGCTGCTTTCCTTTAGTAGCAAACTGAACATGCGTATATACGTCAGCATTATTAAACTGATAGCGGAAAAGTACACATGTATATCATAGCAAATAAATGTGTAGGATATGAACTACTTCCCACACGAGATGCAGTGAACACTCTGTAATGGCAGCTCATTTGGAGTTATAGTCATATGCAAATATTTGGGCACTCCTGGTCAAAATACACTTTTTGCTGATGTTAAAAAACAGTACACACCATTTACAGAGAACCCGGCACATTCTAATGCACAATTACAGTATGTTTTATATTACAACGCAAAATATGGCCTGGGTAAACATTACGGCTTATTTTATACTTTACATTTGATTTTGTAGTCCAATGTGTTAAACTCAGCTAATAAACAGAAATTGTGCACTAGAGTTTTCAGAAATGTAGACGATTGTTTAGTTATTTTCACCTGTGCACTTTCCAACGATCTGTGGTTATTTGGGTAAAGTCCGCTGAATTGAAGTGATTTTCTTTAGCGATGCCTCTCTGTACCATAAAACCTATAATTCTCAAGCAAATCTATAAACGTTATAAAATCAGCCAGACATTCAGTAAACTAAATAACTTGTGTCTGCTGAACCTTATATACGTATATTATACCATTTTAAATAGTGAGAGAGACAGACAGACAGACAGACAGACAGATGGTTACAAAATCAACAAAACATATAATCTGACTTCTGTGTATGACTGTATTTCCCTAAGCAGACAGTTTATGTGGCAGGTTATTAATTAATTACTAATGCAAATGTATTGTTTATGTCCACATTTTTAGTGTAAAAACCACATTTTTTGGGATATTAGTTTTGGCATTAGTTGGTATCGCATTGAAGAGAAAATGAGTGGTATTGCCTAGGGTTGGGCAATTAATCGAAATTTATTTTCAATCACGATTTTGGCTTCCAAGGATTATGAAAACAAGATAATCAAGATAAAGCGATTATTGTGCTGTATTCTGTTCTGCAATGATTTTCTCGTTTTGTCTTGTGTTACAAATCCAGCGAACCCCTTTTCCTTTACAGCGAGGCGCTTTCGTCCCTCCCTAAAAGCCCAAACTCACTTTCAGCCAGGTTGCGGCACGTTTAGCTCAACTCGAGCCAAGATGATGAAAGGAGAGCCTTTGGTCAACAAGAAAGGTAAAACCAATTCAGCTGTTTGTAGACACTTTTCGAGGAGTCCGACGAGGAACAACACAATACTGCCCTAGATTTGTCTGCACTGCAAGGTTATGCGACCAGTTTGTTTTTTCACATGGGGCCGTATTGCAGAAACGTCCTATCTGTAGATCTGTTAAGATCTGACAGGTCAAGACAGGTCAAGATAAGATTTTTCAAAATTCATACTACAGAAGCAAATCTTAATTTAGGAATTTTATCTTATCTTACCGCACCTTATCTCCAGGTAGGACATCTTAACCTACTCAAAGTCTATAATCAGCTGTCGTGTCTGTTACCTAGCAACCGACGATCCGATGAGCACAGCTGAAACGTAAACATGTAATCAAAATAATGTTAAATATGTAAGTTACAGCTAACGCTGTACAATGTAAACACTTTCAATGTAAAAATGATCAAAACTAAAGTGCAATAAACTGGAGAAGTGAATACTGTGAGAGCGCCTCCTGCTGTTTATCAGAGCGTAGCCGCTCCCTAGTCTTAGTTTTCCACCCTAACGTTATTCCTCCTCATTATTCACCACTATAACTGCAATATTTTATCTAATGAGTTTTCATCAACATTAACACACCCAAGTAATAAGAGGGGACGGTGGAGATCGTGTCTGCAGTGTCTGCGATTATTAAAACACAGAGTTAGAAAAGAAAAACATCTCACAAATAAAAGCTACAGTCTGCAATATACACACTACACTCAAAAAAGATGGTTCTTCAAGGGTTCTTCAGTAAAGAAAATGGTTCTATAAAGAACCATGAACACTCAAAGAACCCTTTGCATGATTACAGGGTTCATTGCATTGTTAAAACGTTTTTCAGATTGATGGAGAATGTGTTTTACATGGTTCTATACCACAAAGGGTTCTTCTATTGTTACAGGCTTGACATCACATAGCAGAACCCTTTTTGGGTGCTATATAGAACCATCTACAGCACATTCTCTATTAATCTGAAGAGCCCTTTAAAGATGCAAAGAACCCTTTAATCATGCAAAGGGTTCCTTGAGTTTTCATGGTTCTATATAGAGCCATTTTCTTTACTTAAGAACCCTTGAAGAACCATCTTTTTTAAGTGTGTAGGTAAATGCAACATTATGCTAGTAGTGAACTATGCTGCCTGTAACAGCTGCCTTAAAACAATAGATGGTTAAAACAGAAGTAATAGCTTCTGTCCTAAATTCAGTCCTAACTGAAGTTGTCATGGTGACCTAACAGATAAGATTTTAAAATGTTTCTATAACATGACCCCTGAAATTAAATCTGTTAATTTTTTCCAATAAATACATGACATTTCCAAAGTCAGTGGGTATCGTGTTTAATAATCGTGATCTCAACATTAACCAAAATAATCGTGATTATGATTTTTGCCACAATCGAACCGCCCATCCCTCGCTGCGGTTCCCTCAGTCGACCAGCAGGTGGCGCCGGCGGCGGTGTTGGTGAGCGGGTGGGAGGGTCCAGGGCGCTCCGGAGAGTCTCGCTCTGTTTATTCCGCAGAAGTTGTGAGGCGCTGCGGGCGTGGCAGTGGCAGTGGCAGTGCGGAGCTGGGGCTCGGAGGGTCGGTCGGTTTAGTTGATTTGGAGTACGTATGGATTACGATGCCGCGGGTTTAGCGGAAAAGAGGAAAGAGGGAAAGCGAAAGAGGACACGGCGCTCGGCTCGGGTGGCACCAGTCCGCTCCAGCGGTTCCTCCGTTTAGACTGAACTGATCTGGCGGGTGTTCAGCGTCAGGTCGGTGCCCGTTTGAGCCCCAGCGTGCGCGTCTGTGTGCGAGAGAGAGACGTTATACCCGCCCTCCGACATCTGGATGTGGCTGTCAGTGGATTCGTGACGGGGCTTTTGTTGATAAAGCCTGTCTATCGATCTGGCTTGCGGCAACTTTCAGGCTCACTGCTGGCCGGAGAACTCGCTCTGCTGCTGCCCTGCTGCGGGATTTCTAACGCCAGTCGGCTGATGGAGCCGAAACTTTTTTAAAAATCGCACATTTTCCCGTCATTATCACATCCTTGCCGCTCTTTGGTCTCCGCCACCGGTTTGCTGTGTACATAAATCAGCGCTCGAGCGGCTCGCTTTCCCGCCTCCTCAGAGCTGAGTGCTCGAGACACCGCGCGCGCGCGTGTCCGTTTTTTTTGCCCGTTTTTTGCTGTTTTTTTTCCCTGTATCTTGTTTTATTACTCGGGAGCTCCTCTTCCTCGCGAACCATGGGCTGTACGGTGAGCGCCGAGGACAAGGCGGCCGCCGAAAGGTCGAAAATGATCGACAAAAACCTCCGTGAAGACGGCGAGAAGGCGGCGAGGGAGGTGAAGCTGCTCCTGCTCGGTAAGTGAGTGACAGCAGCCGCGTGGAGGAGGTGCAGGCTCGCGCCTGACCGGCTAACGGCTAACGGCCAACGGCCAGCTCCACTACTGCACTGCTGACCACCTTCATGACCTCCACAACACTGACCATCGACAAACCAGCTGTTCTGAACCGCTGGACCAACATTGTGGAAAATAAAGGAAATTAAAGAGCCCATATCGTACCAGGTTTAGGGTTCTCCTCTCTTCAAAAGGGTTCTTTAGTAAAGGCAGTGGTTCTGTTTCACACTCTTAAAAAAGATGGTGCGTCAGTGGTTCTTTAGGAAAGAAAATGGTTCTATATAGAACCATGAACACTCCAAGAACCCTTTGCATCATGAAAGGGTTCTTCTTTGCATGAATGTGCTATGGATGGTTCAGTATAGAACCTTTTCGTTCTCTTTAGCACCCAAAAGGGTTCTTCTATTGTTACGAGCTCGACATCGTGACAGTAGAAGAACCCTTTTGGGTGCTGGGTAGAACTAACTTTCAACCAGGTTCTGTGTAGAAGCATCTACAGCACATTTTCCATCATTCTGAAGAACACTTTAATCATGCAAGGGTTCTTTGAGTGCTCATGGTACTATATAGAACCATTTTCTTTGCTAAAGAACCATTGAAGCACCATCTTTTTTAAAGAGTGTAGAACCATTGAGCCGTTTGCATGCTTAAGTGGTTCTTTGCATGGTGAAACTGTTCTTCAGCTTGATGGAGAATGTGGAATATATGGTTCTGTGTAGAACCTTTTGAAAATGGTTGTTCATAGCACCAGAAAGGGTTCTGCTATTGTTTACAGTGTCGAGCTTGTAAGAATAGCAGAACCATTTTTGGTACTAAAAGGAACATTTCCAAAACGGTTCTGTATGGAAGCATATGCAGCATATTTTCCACCAATCTAAAGAACCATATCACCACGTAAAGAGCTATTTAAGCAGACGGTTCTCTGAGTGTAGAACATATTCTCCATCTGTCCGAAGAACAAATTTACCGTGAAAAGAACCATTTAAGCATGTAAACTGTTCAATGTATAACTCATGGTTCTAAATAGGTCATTGCCTTTACTAAGAAACCTCGAAGAACCGTCTTTTTTAAGTGTGTAGGCTATTTTTTACCCCTCCGAGTTCATCTTAGAACTTAGAACTGTTTGCATTTATTTATCAGTCCTAATTCATTTTTTCACCTACTTATTTATTTTAGAGACTGATATATGCAAATATATGCAAATTATTTCCTTTTCTCTGATTGGCTACCACATCTTGTGCATCATTCAAAAAGCAGCTCGGGCTTAAACACTGCTTGTAACTTCAGTGTGAGTGGGCGGGGCTTTAGGCTGAGTAGGCAAATATATGTAAATGTGAAATCACAAAAAAAGCTGTCCATTTTTGTCCATTTTTGTTTTTGACACAATTTGAAAATGCCTTTTGTCCTTTATGTTGTCTGTAAATTTCATGACTAATGGACCAAAAGAAACGGCCAAAATTTACTTGGAAAAAAAGTCTGGTTCCATTGACTTACATTAGAAGTACAGCGTGTTTTTTCCTTCTCCTGTAAAGTTCTCATTTTGGGGATAAAAGGTTGTTCCGACAGCAGGGAATATCAAAACGGGCCTAGTTTCCGGATATGGACTGTAATTTGGAACGTTAACAGTGTTTGACATACTAACATAACTGTTTTCTTTCAAAGTACATATACAGTTTGATTTTCCATTTAATGGATGAGATAATCACAAGCTCATAAGCTTAGCCTGCTGCAGAAACAAGCTAGAGGCTAGCTGGAAGATGAAAGCGAGCACAGCCAGAGGGAATCGGTATGTAATGTGCGTTTGCGTGTGCCAAGAGTGGTGTGGTCTCCTACGCACCTAATTAACCCCCCAAACACTGACCGATAAAAGTCGCTCTCATTAACAAGGCCATTTAGAAGTACAGCATGAAAGAGCAGCCACCCGCCCCTCCCTTCCCCCTTTTTTTCTTTTCAAAGACATGCATATGCAGGATGCATGTGACAGGAAAACCACAGTATTGATGTTTGCGCAGCAGAACCTCATCTGTGCCGTTCTCTGCAGGGCTGGTGCGGCTGGAACCTTCACTGGCCCTCAAATTCCTCAACAGTCCAGTGGAGAATGTGACTGGACTTACTGTACTGTCTCCTCAGCACTGTTTTAGACTGCAGGATCCCTCATTATTGTTGACTTCAGGATGGCGAGGCAACAAGGCGCTTTCTTTCTGTTCGCTTTTTCTGTGGTATTTTTCATACCTTGTCATTATGTCATTACCTTGAGGTACTTCAGTATGGCGAGTAGGCCGGCAGACAGACAGACAGACAGTGGTAGCTGTGAGGAAGCCAGGTCAGAAATAACTGGCTGCAGAAAACCACAATTCTCTGCTACGCCCATGCTGAGTATTAGCCTAAACGAGCGTTTAGCCAAACACGAGTTCAAGTTTCTTGTTCCCACACTTCATTAAAGCTAAGTGCTCCTGCCGCTCCACTAAATCCTTACTCATTTCGTTAGTGTGCTGCCTTTGTGCTGGTGAAGAGGCGGCGTAAATTAGTGCATACCCTTGAGTTAAAGGGTGAAAACCCTTGGTTATTTATTGAACCTCAGGTAGGAGTGATTTACAGATACCAGACCTGCTGTATGGCTCCACGAAGGCCGACAGGATCCCTATGAGAAACACCTGACCCTTAGATATCACCAAAAACAAGGCTGACTCTTTGCTCTGCCTATAATTTGTATGGATCATGGGTGTGCAGCACTATGTAAAATTACACTGCACAGCGCTCTTTTTAACTTTGGGTGGTTTCTTTGCCTTCGGTGGCGTGTAATTGCTAGGGTAGGGTCAGGACCATATCATAAGTGTGTCAGCTTCAGAAAACTATGAATGGAAAAACGAGGGCATCTTGCTGAGGAGCAGCCTCGTACATTTCTGACTGAAATGCAGCTGAGAGGCAGAAATGATATGCCTCTGCTTGCAGAAATTGACAATAATAGTAACGCTCTTCAACCTGATTCTAGGCTTGCAGCAACCTCCACTTTCTTTTGACCAATGAAGTTGGCAAGTGCAGAGTTAAGGATGCAATTTTTGGTAAATATTTTTGACCGATAACCAACCGTCATTAATTATGGTGACTAATTGTCAACCGACAAGCCTAAAATCAAGGATACGACCAAAATATCAATTAGAAACCTTCCGGATCAGAAAATGAAAGTTGAAGCCATCAAATCAAATCACGTTTATTGTCACATCACATTTACACAGGTGCAAAGGTGAGTGAAAATCTTAGGTGTGTAGCCCTCTTGAAGAAATTTAAATACAAAAATATATATATAAGAAAAAAGTCTGAAGTAGATAAATAAATGAAATGCAGGTACACAAAGGATAGAATATTGATACAGAAATCTTCCAGATTATACAAGATGGATTGAAGGTGCAGTAAGATCAGAGCGAGTCTGTTGAGATGTGGATGAGGTGTGGATTGTCCATGGAGATCATGATGATGATGACTCAGAGATGCAGTGACAGGCCTATAGACTGATGCACCAGCACTACTGGCTGTTCAGCAGCCTGATGGCCCGGGGGAAGAAACTGTCTCGGAACCGGCTGGTTCTGGACTTTATGCTTCCACTGTAAAATAGTTGAATTGTGCACACGTTAATGAGCACATTTTATGAATTCTGCACTGTGTAAGATGTATTTTTATTAGAAATTAAAGAAGTTATTGAGTCAGGAGAAAAAGCACTAAAATATGGTGTGAATGTGCTGCTGCAAGTTGCTTTGTAATGCCTGAAATAGTAATTTATAAGTCAGTGGCTTAGGGTTGGATTTGGCAGGAGTTTTTCAGACCATGTATGTATGTATTAACTTAGATCACATGCAATAGGCTCAAAAGGAATCACCGTTTAGGTCACAAATACAAAATCAACACTACACTGATGAAGATATTGATGATGAGAATAGCATTTCTGGCTTTTCCACCAGAGAGGTCTCCAAATTCCCAACACTTCCATAGTGTAGTTTTAACTGACTTCTGTGTAAATGCAACAAGATATTAAAAACTGTTCCTTGCATGGACCGTGGGACAGAGTACGGAGAAGTGAAGCCAGGCATCAGTGTGGTAATGAAGTCAATAGCCTGAAAACATATCATACATAAGAGCCCATTTTTATGAAACAGAAGGGCTGACAGCTGTAAGTTCATGATTATATGATCTAAAATTAAAATGTGACGAAATTTGACCCTCAGTAGCGCTCAAAAGCAGTCACTGTCCACCATGTCCTTCTATATAATTTTGCATTGTCATTTGTGATGCTGTGTGTCACATTTTCTTTTGGAGAGCATGGACAATACAGTATATACGCGATATTATATCTTATTTGTGTGCAGATGTTTGCTTTCAGTGGCATGTCATTATAGTTGTGCTATTGTCTTGTTGAAAAGTGGTCATTGTTTTTTGCCACAAATATCATATCACAATACTTGAAGACATTGGCATGATACATGATACATATCACAATACTGACACAGACAGAACGCACCCATAGTGACATTAAACCATTGCGTAGAATTTTATTTAACTTTATACATACTGTACTGCACTAAATCCAATCAAACCTGACTAATTGATGTTCTCTGTTTAACGAAACATGCAACTGGTCAGTCTTTTCTAAGTACTGACAATATCCCTGAGGTGCTCAGAAGAGCATATTGTTTATAACGAGAACAGAATTAATCACAATAATGATAAAATATTACCATATTGCCTATCTCTGTCTTATTTAAAGAAGGCCTCTCTAGCGAAAACAGTTGCATATTGCGCCCTCCTGTGTACAGTTAACAAACACTGCTCAACCTGAGCGATAAACCAGCGTATTTAAGTAGGAGTTGTTTACTATGTATTGAAAATGTAATAAAACTGATGTTTTTTTTAAGGAAAGCAAAGGTCTGTAATGAGTTTAATTGTTTGTTAACTGTTAATCCGTTATGC